CTCACCCCGGTGGAGAAATTGTTCCACCTCCTATCCAAGACAACTGGCGAAGCGCACGCCATTGTTGCCAAAGCCCCGCTCACCAATGAGGGGTTCGTCGCAGCTTGGCAAAGCCTCACCGACCGCTTCGAGAACCGGCGGTTGTTGGTCAACAGCCAGTTGAAAATCCTCTTCAACATCCAGGCGGTCCCTCAAGAATCGGGAGTCGCGCTAAAAGACCTGCAAGGCACCATCCAAAGCTGCCTGACCGCCCTAGAGATGTCCTCCATTCAAGTTGAGGCTTGGGATAGTCTTTTGGTGTATATGGTTTCCTCAAAGCTTCCCGAAGTAACCCTTTCTCTGTGGGAACAATCCATCCACAACAAAGACAGAATTCCGACTTGGAAGGAGCTAGACGCGTTTCTGACCGAACGCCATCGTACGCTGGAGGCCATCGACGACGTTTCGCCTACCAACTCAAGGCATTTTCCGCCAGAGTTGTCGACTCCGAAGGCCCCAGCGCCCCGGCTCCATTCTTCCGACTTCAGAGTGACTCCAACACCCAGACCCAGAAGGTGTGACCTATGTTCCAGGGAAAATCATCCCCTGCGAAGATGTCCCCGTTTCCTTCAAATGACCGTAGTCGAGAGGTCAAATATCATCCGAAGAAAGCAACTCTGCTTGAATTGTTTGGCACGAGGCCATCAGCAGCGGGATTGCCCCAGTGCCCACTCCTGCCGTACATGCCGCAAACGGCATCACACCCTGCTGCATCCCAGAAGCTGTTCCTCCAGTGTTCAGATTGCTCCTGAACCTTCCAGCCCAGTAACCGCACCGATCCAAAGGATATCCGCGTTCTCCACGCGAATCACTTCTTCCAACGCCTTAAATTACTGGGTACCCTACGACATCAAGAGCAGACGTTCCCGAGGTATTTTATCCTACCCATGCCGAGTCTGCAGCGGAGTCCATCCGCTTCGAAAATGCCACAAGTTCCTTAGGCTTAGTGCTGAGAAGAGGCTCAGCGCGGTGTCCACCAACCGCTACTGTTCGAACTGTTTGGCCCACGAACATTCCCAGGGCAAGTGCCGCAGTGGTGACCGATGCAAGACGTGCAATCAGCTTCACCACACGCTCCTGCATATGCCTGGAAGTCCAGTTCCCGCACCCCGATCGCAGCATCGGATGACTTCGTGCTCCCCATTCGCGTTATTTACTGACCAATCTTCTAAATGATATACTTTTTTCCTGTCCGTTTCGAGAAGATGCCACCGCTTCGCACCACGCGAACGCTCTGATCAGAGGTCCAATCCAACCGATTCCGAGGTTGCCACCGAGCTTCATCCGCTTCCGACGCCGACGTTCACCTCTAGGATCCTGCGCCTCTCCCCGCCCCTCCTCAGCCACTCCACGGCCTCCGTCCACCGCTCCAGTCCGGTGCGCATAGGCAATTTCCGCCGCTAGCCAGGACCCCCTGCAGAACGCGGCAGTTATACAGGACGAATATGTTGCAACCCGAGTAGTTGCAAGGGGGGGAGAATGTTCACGTCAGAAGGCCCTTCGCGGCGGCCGCGGCGCCGCCTCTGTCCACCGAGCCTCCAAAGCCTTGGCCGCTCTTGCACTCCCGCAAGTCGGCTCTTCGAGCACTGCTCATCGGGCTAGTCTAAGCGCTCCCGCGCCCACTCTTCGATGTTCGCGAACGCCCGCTCCCGAATTCCCGAGCTTCGCTCGCTGCTAAGCGAGCTGAGGGACGGCTTGTTCGCGCTCCACTTCTCGGGCCCGCTCTCGCACTGTTAAGCGTAGCTTATCGGTCGGGAGCGCGGCCCTTACATTTAAGCTATTTAGTCTTATGTATGCAGCGCAATAAAGCTGACCATTTGATTTTGCCCACGACGCCCCCGTCTTTTACTTTTCACCTTCGCTTGCGACGTGGGAATTTCCATTGGGCTACATTTGACAATACAGGATCTTCAGCGGCAAGATCGCCCCCCTACAAACAGTATATATTTTCATTATCATGATGTAAAACTTCATTAATTAAATGAAACACACAAGAAGAGGTCGTGGATCAATAATGAATTATACGGGCAGGAAACCATGATTCAGCTGAAACTTTGCCTAAACTATGATTTCGGGAATACCCATGTAATTTTGAGCTAAATCGATACCATCACCATTTTAATTGACAGGCTGAAGGGGGAAAATAACACGAGCTCAAAGCCAAACTAACAACCAACTTTATCCTCCAAGAAGGGCGTGTGAGAAGCGCGGAGAAGGGCGTGTGAGAAGCACGGAGAGAGGCGTTTAAGCAGCTTAGAAAAGGGAGTTTTGGGGAAGTGGTTAAGGCGTAACCCACTCGACCCACATTCTCGCCTCCCAAAATCGGAAATCGGAAAACAAAACTCGGATTCAGGTTGCGAAGTTGCGTGAGTTTCACTTTTATGCCGACAAGTGGCTGCTTTATTTTTTCGTTTTGTTGGGCAAACAATAATTCAGCAATCAACGTGCTCATCGTCGAGTTAAACTCGCATTAATTTTGCATTTCGCGAGACCCTACCAACCGTCGGCCGCCTAATAAATCGAGTCAGCGGCGGTAATTGCACTTCGCCGAAGCGCCATTAAAGATTCAACAGCTCGGGACGCCCTCGGGGTAAATATGAATCCGCGACCAAAGTGGGTTGGTCCCAATTAGGTGACATGCAACATGGCACAGAGGAGAACTGACTACTGCACGTAGTCCTCCCCCGGGAAAGGAAGGATGGGGCCACAAGACACTCTGTCTGGGATCCGGGGGCTTGTTAATGGACTTGACACTTGGCCAACAGTTGGTCACGCGCCACAAGACGACGTCGGAGTACTGTAATGATGGCGATAATTACAAGACCCCACAGCTGTCACCTTCCGTAAAGCAACTTGCACTTGTTGTTCCCGCCTATCGAAGGTTATATATATGTTTTTCTATCCGGAGGAATATGATTAATGACGTGGGTTCCCTCCTCTCCTACGGTGGGTCATTGGGTGACTAACGTGTGACCCAAAAAAAGCATCGACAGTGAAAGTGAACAGCACATAAAAGTATGGCAAACTTGGAGAGGTGCAAGGAAAGTAAGTGAGAGAGAGGGAAAGCCAAAAATCAAAACAAATAAATATATAGTCATAAAAAGAACAAGGCATAATTATAAAACAAACAACTGATGATCAAGTTCCGGTTGTAAAAACAGGGATGGTTTTTTGATTGTTTTCAAATAAGGTATAAGGTGAGCCGATAAGCAGGTCAATAAATTATTATGACCCATATTAAACACATCACAGTTCCATTTATAGTTTTAGTCATTAAGTAAATTATATCTTATCACACTTACTATAAAAAATCATATGATCATATGATATTGCTCATCTCAAAAGACCTTAACCTGGCCATTTTGATTGATTATAAAGGCAACTACTTCGAAGTTAAAAGAATTGTTCTGAAGTAATTCCTAGAAATTCGAGGTTTTCTAGTCGAAACCCTGAACAGTATAAGTTTATTGCGCCCGTTGACGTCGTCATACACTTCACAGTGACCAAATCAATATCTTATCAGAGGAAAACGACGAGATAATGAAATAAAAGTCAATTTTGAAGTTTCAAGAAACTGACTGGCATGCGTTGGCATGCACTTGAACGTGATATATGGGACGACAATGCTGTTGACTGTTGCAATTACAGAAATGCATTCGACACAAAGAAAAAGCAGAGTTGGCCAGGAGCAACAAGAACCTGTGCAAACGCAAATATAATTATATAGCCAAGAGCAGGAAATATAGAAAAATTGCATTAGAGTGTGCAATCTTGCTAATGACCCAATTACAATTATGGCGAGTGCTGTGCGCGCGACCTGTTTTCCTTAATTTTATTTTGCTGTGACGACTGCCTGCACTTGGCAGGACCTGTCACAGTGGCAAACTGAAGGGATTCAAGCACTGCAAGGACACTGGCCAAGCCACAATGAGCAGTAGCTTTGGTTGAGTGTCCAAACACGCGAGTGTTGAAAAAATTACACTTGCCAACAACAAACCATAACAATTTCACGCCGAATGGAAGAATGGGAAAACCATGTTCATGTCCTTGCACTTGCTTTTGCTCCCCCCACTGCTGTGTCCTTTCATAAATATCTAAGCAGGATGGCGCAGAGATGACGCCATTTACAGGGACATCATCATGGAACTTGACAAAATGAACCGCGGAATGCTTTCACCATGACGCAGACGGGAAACTCCAGCCCCTCATCTCTGCCGGCCAAGGTCGAGGCCAAGTGATGGGGTATTATTTTGCAATTTACTTGTTACTTTAATAACCGGCCCACATGCGAGCACCTGACCGTCATGAATACACCTAAAACTACACCTACACCTTTTCCTCTCCATTAGCCCCATCCCCATCCCTGACCTTAACCCATCCGGATAAGCAAACAAAACCAAAACCAAAGCCAGCTCCACTCCACTTAACTCGCATGTAAATGGTGGCTCTGGGGCAGCCATCAATGTGTTCATTTGACAATAATTGAGTTTCGGTTATATGACGAGAATCCCATGAATATTGCATATGGATTACATATCATATCTGTATAGTTATGACAGCTTGAGCGACATTTCGTGACCAGCGGCTGACATTTCTTCGTTCTTTGTCATTATAAAATATTCATTTTCACAGCAAAAGCCCATAACGAAGCAATGACTTTAAAATGTATTGAAGATGGGGCATTAAATATGCTATAATATTGGGGGGTTCTAGCCCTGAAAAACGTGTTCTCCCACCCATTTGAAGTCCCCAAATATCTTAATAAAAGTGCGTCACAGCTATAAAATATAAATTGCTGTCTAACAAGTTTTGTGAAAGGAGAATAATTTATTTAAACTTGTAAATTGAAAGTTAAGATCATAAGAAATTAGGTAATTTATTTTCTTACTTATAAATAATACCTAAATAAAATAACTAATGAAGTTTAGATCCATAATAATTTGCAATATTTATTTTTGCAGGGAGACGGAACGCTATAAGAAGGTGAAATGGCAGGACTTGCGTGTTGGGGACATTGTCCACCTGTCCAACAACGAGACAGTGCCGGCGGACATCCTCCTGCTCCGGACAAGTGACCCCCAAGGGGTCTGCTACATAGACACCTGCGATTTGGATGGTGAAACGAATCTAAAGCGTCGCGAGGTGAGTGCAGGCAACAAATTAGCCAAGGCAGATACGTGATACTAACTATTTCTATATGGCATTTCTTTACAGGTCGTACGTGGCTTCGAGGAAATGCAGAGCATTTTTGTGCCCAGCAAGTTTGTGAGTCGCGTGGAGGCGGATGCGCCGACAACGAAGCTATATAGATTCCATGGGGCCTTAATACATCCAACAGGGGAGCGTGTGCCGATATCGACCGAGTGCCTTTTGCTAAGAGAGAGCAGACTGAAGGTGGGTTCTTAACTACACTCTATTCAAAGTAATTCCTAATCTGATCTTGTCCAAATCTCGCTCACAGAATACGGATTTTATTGAGGGTATCGTGGTCTATGCGGGACATGAAACAAAGTCGATGCTAAACAATAGTGGTCCGAGGTACAAGCGCTCCCAGGTGGAACAGCAAATGAATATTGATGTGATATGGTGAGTGCATTGACCGTGCGAATTGTTTTTACAGGGGAAAATGTCTTCCAAACACAAGTGAAACTGCTTTTAAAATGAATTAAGAGATGAGTTTTAATGGAAAAGCTAAGCTGTTTCTCACAAAACATGGATAAGGAAGACCTTTTCCCTACAAGAAAATATGTAACTTCCTCAAAACCTATTTAAATATTAAGTATACATAGAAAAGTAATTAATTATTAATTAATCTCTCCTTAGGTGTGTGATAATTTTGTTGTTACTGTGCGTTGTCGGCGCCATCGGTTGCAGGATGTGGCTTAGTTCGTTCACCAACTTTCCGGTGCCCTATCTTCCCTTCGAGGTGAATGCCAACCTCGAGGGCATGTGGACCTTCTGGACGTACATCATTATTCTGCAGGTGATGATACCCCTGTCCCTGTACGTGACCATCGAGCTGTGCAAGATCCTGCAGGTCTTTCACATCCACAACAACATCGATCTGTACGATCAGGATACCAATAAGCAGACAGAATGTCGAGCGATGAACATCACCGAGGAGTTGGGCCAGATTCAGCATATATTCTCCGATAAGACCGGCACTCTCACCGAGAACAAGATGATCTTTAGGAGATGTGTGGTCAATGGAGCAGATTACAATCATCCGCCATCGGAACTGGAGAAGATCTACTCAAAGCCGGGGGCACCAGCTCCGCCGCTGCTGCCGAATGATAACCTAATCAATGACATGGCGCAGTTTAATCAGGGAGCATATCTAACGTCACCGGCTCAACGCATCCAGGAGTTCCTGGTGGTGCTGGCCATTTGTAATACGGTCATTGTTGGGGCCGCTCCCCATCGTGATCTGATGAATGCCAGTGGCATTATCGAAGTGCAGCAAACGGGCAATAATAGTCCGGCAAATCTGAAGATGACAAAGCAGCGACAGAAGCTTCTCGCCGCCAGCACGACAACAACGACCACAACGACCATACTGAATGGTTCGGGACCACAGCAGCCGGGATCTATTCCAGCAGATCGTTATATTCGCCTGGCAGAGTCTCGATCGGTGACACCCTCGCCACCGCCCAACCTGCTGTTTGCCCTGCCCGCTCAGAGCCATCAGCCGACACTGTCACCGATCAGTAGTTCGGCGGAATCGTCTCCAAATTCCGAATCGGAGTCCCCATCTCCGCCGATGAAAAACAAGGCTTTGTCCAACAGTATTTCACCCACAGGAAGAGCCAAGGCAGTCATCAACTCGAAGATTACCAGCATAGCCACCTTCCTGAATGCCAAGACCCAAGGAAAGCGAATGAAGATGAAGTGAGTCTGGGATGGAAATCCTTTAAAACTTCAGTTAATTAATTTTTAATTCATTTCTCAGTTCAACCAAAACGGAGACGATATATCGGACTGCCGATGGACGACCCCTTTACGAGGCTGAGAGCCCGGATGAGCTGGCTCTGGTGAATGCCGCCTACAGCTACGACTGTTGCCTGCTCAATCGCAGTGCTAATCAAATTCTGGTCAGCATGCCGACGGCGGGTGCCACGGTGGAGTATGAAATACTCAAGGTCCTGCCCTTCGACTCTAGTCGCAAGTGCATGTCGATTGTGGTCCGACGCACCGGCACCCAGGAGATTGTGTTGTACACCAAGGGAGCGGATAGCTCCATCATGCCTGTTCTAGCACCCTGTGCGCACAATAGTCCCGAGGGTGAGTTGCTGCTACTGCTATATTTATTTCCATTCAGTATTTCTAATTGTTTAATAATTACAGGCATCCTACGAGAACAGACCCAGCAGCAACTGGATCGGTATGCTCGAGAAGGCCTGCGCATCCTGGTAATGGCCAAACGCACCTTGAATTCTGCCGACTATACGGATTGGTGGGCGCGGCATCAAGAGATTGAAATGTCATTAGAAAATCGCGAGCGTAGGCTTCGTGATTCATTTGCCAAGCTGGAGAGCAATCTGACTTTGCTCGGGGCCACTGGGATTGAGGATCGCCTGCAGGATGGAGTGCCAGAGACGATAGCATCGGTATTAGCAGCGGGTATCTCTGTTTGGGTGCTGACGGGAGATAAGCCCGAAACCGCCATAAATATTGCCTATTCTGCGAAGCTATTTACTCAGCAAATGGAGCTGATCAAGTAAGTTAATTATAATTAGACAGAAAGTATATAATTTACTAACTCATTTGCTTTTTTTTTTATGTACTTCCTTAGATTGACAGCTCGATCTCGCGACGCAGCAGAAACAGCCATTAATTTCTATCTGACTGACATAGAGAATGCCAAGACATCCTCCCTGGGCTATGGCCAAACCTTGAGGAAAAAGCAGAGAGCCTTAGTTGTGGATGGCAAGACGCTTACCTTTATCCTGGATCCCAAGTGAGTTTCTTTTACAACAAGCATTACTTCATTTCCTAATCCCTGTTCCTCCGTTTCTGCCAGGTCCAAACTGATACTGCCATTTTTGCGGTTGGCCAAGCGATGTGCTTCGGTGCTCTGCTGTCGCTCCACGCCGCTGCAGAAGGCATACCTAGTCAAAGTGGTCAAGGAGGAGCTGAATCTGCGTACCCTGGCCATTGGCGATGGCGCCAACGATGTGTCCATGATCCAGATGGCGGATGTGGGGGTGGGCATCTCCGGGCAGGAGGGCATGCAGGCCGTAATGGCCGCCGATTTCACACTCTCCCGGTTTCGTTACTTGGAGCGGTTGCTTCTCTCGCATGGCTATTGGTGCTACGATCGCTTGTCCCGCATGATTTTATATTTCTTTTACAAGAATGCGGTAAGTATTTGCTTTAACTATATTTTCGAGCATCAGATTTACTTATATTTCTCTAATTTCCAGGCCTTTGTATTTCTGATATTTTGGTATCAACTATATTGCGGCTTCTCAGGGTCTGTAATGATGGACCAGATGTACTTGATGCTGTACAACTTGATATTCACCTCGCTGCCGCCCTTGGCAATTGGAGTGTACGACAAGCGAGTGCCAGAAGATTTACTGCTAAAGAATCCGTATCTCTATAAAAATGTGAGTGTTCTAAAACTCTCTAGAATCTTGATAAATATGGTGATTAATCTCTCTTATCTACAGGGTCGACTGGGCTTGGCTTACAGACCGCACGACTTTTGGCTGATACTGCTGGATGCCCTGTACCAGAGCCTTGTTATATTCTTTGTGGCGCTGTGCGCCTACGCAGAGAGTAATGTGGGCATCTGGGAGTTTGGCACCACCATAACGGCCTCCTGTCTGTTTGCCAATCTGGTGCATTGTGCCATTGAAATACGCTCCTGGGTAAGTCCTCTTTCGCAATTACCAATTATTTCGCATATTTTATTGGCTATTTCTCCTTTTTCAGACTGTGCTGCATGTCATATCCATTGCGGTTAGCCTGGGCTCCTTCTACCTCTTCTCAATTGTGTACAACTCGATGTGCGTCAATTGCTTTGGCCTGCCCTCCACCTACTGGGTGATCTTTGTGTGCTTCGGCTCCGCTGTCCACTGGCTGGTGATACTGCTCTCCACAGTGGTGGCTGTGCTGCCACGGTAAGTCTGGCTGGGGGTATCCCTCCCAATAGCAAATATAATATAATTCGTTTTATTTTGGCAGCCTGCTGCTCACCACAGTGCGCATCTCGCTGTGTCCCGACGACAGCACAAAGGTCATACTGCAGAGCAAGCGGGAGCGCAGCAGAGGTGAGGGTTTGTTAGTTACTTGGTCGCGCTCCACTTCAGCCTCATCAATCTATAGGTAAAAAGGCACAAAATAATACGAATGACAGTTGTTTTCCTTTTGCACGACTTGAGTTTCATCTTTATGAGTTCACTTTTATGATTTTGTGTCTTTTTATTTGTACATGGCTTTGCTTTTGAGCTATACTTTTTTTACCTTGTCTAATGAACTATAATCTCACTTGCAGAATCACCGATTATGGGTCTAAGAATCAGATTATAACAACGATTACCTGATCGAGCGCCAAAATGCAATTCCTCGGCGGCTATCTCAGCGGCAAACAAACTCTAGGATAAGGAAACACGATGACTAGCAAACACCCATGAACATGAACTTGTACACAAGTGCTTTCACCCTAAAATAAGTGGCCTTCGACACCGATTATCAGTAATAATGTTTCGTTAGTTTAGTTCATTTAGCCGCCCTGCAAATTATTATATCGTAAATGTACTTAGTAACCAATTGAATTAACTGTTTAGCGAAGATTTCCAAGTTAACTATCCGCGATTTAGTTGAAAATGTGCCTCGAGGAGGGCACGCTTGCATATTTATTTGTATATAAGTAGAGAGTTAGCGTTAGTACCTAGAACCGTAGCGAAGCAACCTAACCAACCTAACGACTATTGTTTAACAGAACCGAAAATACAATGCTAATTACTGAAACTAGATACATGTAATGCCTAGACCTAGATATACATATATATATCACCCTAACAGAAATACTTGACAATTCAAAACACAACAGAACTCTGATGGTTCGATGAAAAGGCTGTGATTCTACACTCATGAAGGATATATACCTAAGCATAAGGATTATTATTATATATACACGCATACCGAAACCCAAAACTAAACCTAAATCTAAACTAGATCCGTACGTTAGTAGTTGCATTGATTCGAGTATTGACATCTCCTCTCCACTCACCTTCTGTGTTTCTTAGTTTGTTGTTCTTTGGCGAGCAAGTGAGTTTTTTACTTTTTTATTGAGGGTATTAATCGATCGTTGTAATCCATTAGTTTTTACTACTATGTACTAAAAAGAACCCTAAATGCAATTCGAAATTAAATTGGTACGTGTTGACACTGGAAGATGATTGAATACCAGAGAGCAAAAATCGTTAGCTGAATATTTACATTGTTGGAAAAAGCAAGAAATCATTAAATGAAATAAATGTATATTTACCTAAAAATTACATGTCTAATTGCTTTATTTACGTATTTGATTAAATGAAATTCAAATTTTGAAAAGCGGAACATTTTGAATTTAAAGTTAACAGTAACATAGAGAGTGAGGCCTCATTTAACATTGGTTTGAGTCCAGGCTAAACAAATGTGAAGTCTCGCTTGGATAATATATCAAATTGAATCGAATTAATAACCAATTTGTTCAATATTATAAACATAAATAATACTTCCGAAGAAATATTCCTACTGTTTCCGGGTTTTTAATGTTTATTTTCAGTAAAGTTCCTTACTCCTTTAGCATTACCTTGAACCTTTTTCTAACAATTGATATGACACTTTTAGTCAGTGTTTCACCTTTTATACCAGTTTATGCCAGCTGAAGCCAATCAGCTGATGCAACGTCGACAGAAAATACCTATTTTCGCTCTCTGTTTGAGGTGAATTCCTCTCTCTCTCTGTTAAAACTACCCACTGCCGCCACTTCAGCCATTTTGTAGCTAGATCGGGCAACATAAAATATATTATTTAAAACCCTTTCAGAGTATTTAACTTAAATCAGAAGTTTGCAACGCAGTAGGGGAGTCATTTCAGACACCATAAAGTATATATATTCATGATCAGCATCAACAGCTGATTAGATCTAGCAATTTCGGTCTGTCCGATTCTACGCGAGGTATTCTCTAAATTTTAAATTATTTGTATGAAACTTTTCAGTAAGTTTTATATATACTTTTACTAGTATTTAAGTAGGAACGGGACGGGTCGTTCGTATTTATTATATAGCTGCCAAAGAAACGATCAGAAATTTTATTGAAAAAAAGTATAGCTTTTTCAGTTTTCATAGTTTGTAATATTGTTGAAGTTTAGTTTTACGAAAATCGGGTTACTATATTATAAAATTGCCATAGGAACGATCGGAAAATGTTAAGAAAAAACCTTTTTTAGTTCTCAGCATATTTTCATCTAATTTGATATATAGCCATTTTGTATTATTTCAGAATTTCAAGTTTAATTTTATGAAAATCGGACTGCTACATCATATAGCTGCCATACAAAACTATCGTTAAATGAAGAAGAAAATCCCAAACTGTAAATATAATTAATTATTAAGCAACTTTCAACTGTATTTACTTAAGAAAAGGTATTGCAAATCTAGCTATTTTTTTGCTTCAGAGATTCTGACAGCACTGTTGCGACGCTGTGGAAGGAGGAGGCAGAATTATTCACCACAGTTGAAAACCTATAAATACTAGTGCAAGGGAGACATTCGAAAAAAATAACAACAATTCGAACGAATCGCCGATTTAATTTGCTAAACCGCAACACAAAAGTGCCTGCCGTAAAATAATAATTATCAAGTCGGAAAAAACAGCTGTGTTTATGAAAAGCAAACGGAAAAAGGGATAGCGAAGCGGAACAAACGGCAAAACAAAGGAATAAGATTGATTTTGCGCTACTTTCGCGGATTAGCATCGCGCGTAAATTTTCGGAGGCTCCGTTGGCCACGCGTGTGATTGTGTGGGTGTGATCAAACATAAATAATGTGCAATTACGGGTCAGTAAAAACCCAAACAAAGCAGTGATAAGGCCAAGATGGTCCATGGGTAAATGCAGTGGCGAAGGAGTATGAAAACAAAGAGCGCAAGGTGAATGCAAACGATGTGAGCTCCAATTAAAATTTATGTTTCTTATTTGCGGTGGCTGAGTGTGTGTGTGTGTGTGCGTGTCTGAGTCTGCTCCCGTGGACATCTGTTCCGTCTCGTCGTCGTGTCCCTCGTCCCCCGTCCCCCGTCCCTAAGTCCCTTTTTGGCCCCCCAGACTCGTCTCGCTCTACATACCCAGGTAAAACTGGATGTGGATGTGTGCGTGTGGTGGCTCTCTCTCTTTCTCTCTCTTGTTTTCTGTGGTAAACTATTTATTTATTGTTTTTTTTTCAACATGTAATAAACAAATTGGTCAAATGTATAAATGAGCATTTCAATGTAAAAAGTGACGAAATCTCTATACAACAATGATATAGAAATGGGATGAGCTACAAGTTTCTTTAAAAATAAACGTGATTTAAAAATTTGTACACTTAGAGAAAAACAGGCATACTTAATTATTCATTCAAACTTTAATCAGTTTTGTACAAGTATTTTAAAGAGTACTCACTCTTATTTGTTTAGCAGAACACTTTCAAAGAGGTTCTTTTAGCCTCTAAAAACCTTTAGCAGGTGCAAGGCTTTCCTACTTTCCAAATAATTTCCCTCTTTGCCTATCTATCAATGTATTTATGGTAATTTATTCATTGCTCTCTTAAGAGCGTGGACATTGCCAAGGTGATAAAATAGAATCCTTGAAGCGCAGAGGACACCCTGTTTTCCCCTCTGAAGGCACTTGTTACAGATTTCCCCGTCTTGTATATATTTTCTCCGCTCCCCCGCCGAGTTTTCCCTTGTGGCGTTCTCTTTGGTTTTCTTCGACGTTGTTGCTTTTCAATTGATTTATTTTTGCATAATCGCCCATTGCCAGACGGAACCAACTCATAAGCAAACACAAAAACAGAAGCACAGAAAAACGCACGCTAAGTACAACTGACACAAGTACGAAAAAAGTACTCATATGTATTTATATACACATAGCATTTGCATGTACAGCTGCGACTTGTGTGATTTTTGACAATAGACGAGTGATTTGCAGAGCTGTGCTAATGGCAAAATCATATCCTCATTGATTGCCGATAAACGATCAATATCATTCTGTACTTCCATTTTACCGGGAATGATTCAGGCAATTCTGGTTGGAAATTAACTGTTGAAAAATAAAATGAAACTGGTTTCCAGTCCTAACAACAACATGTGGTTCTAAAAGCATGTGTGTGTGACAAAATGGATCCAAAATCGGTGATTAACAAAGAAATGCTGCGACAACTTTCTATTGGGGCGCCTCGATTGTGACTTTAAAAGAAACCCTGAAAACGCGGTAAAACCTTGAAATACACAAGTGTTTTTTAGCCAAAAAATCGATTTAATTGCCAATAATATATGGCTTACCTTACTTTTTTGCAGTTTGTAGTTGAGTTAATATCAAAAAGTTTAGCTTCAAAAATATACTGAATTTTAAATAGTAAAGATTGACTTTACAATTTTTAAAAAATGTAAAATATATTTATGACAAAATTCCACTTTATTTATATTACATAAATCTTAATTAATGTTGAAAATATTAAATATAAGATTAACATTATTGATCAAATCAACTTTTTTGAAAATGTAAAATTAGTGTGTTTGTGATTTTCCTAATGTTTTCACTTATTTCAATTCTTTGTGTTACAAACTTAAGTTTATTAACCACATTCTTAATACTTCTTGCTTAGAAACGTGTGCTATAATATGCCAAGGAACATATTCCTGGAATTTTGCCAATAAATCGTTATTATAAAAATATAAAAATTCCATTATAATGAATTTATAGGCTACCAAATATGAATCTTAATAAACATTGGTACTTTTATCTAGATTTATTTAGGTTTTTCGTCTAAAATTATAGTTGAAATCGTCTTCCTTTCGCATTTCTTATGACATACATCGTACACATGTTTATATTCCTCTATTGTTAGCATTTTCGAGGTCTCTTTGAAGTGATTTCCACTGCATTTTACACCTTGATGTGTAATTCCAATATTCGTTTTGGCCTGTTCCATTTCTTGCGCTTGGCTGGAGCTTTATGCTGTCTCTCTCTCTCTCTCTGTCTCTCGTCCCTCTCTATTTCTTACCCTTTTTGTTGGTAGCCCCAATTAGCCGCTGCTGGGTTTTGCTTGCCAAATCTTCGCACGTAACCAAAAGGTAGAGAGCAACACTAACAACATTAAGGCATCAGCATAATCGAGAGATCGCGTTGCGCTCTCTTTCTAACGGTGTTTGGACAACAACAACAACAACAACAACAACACAACCTCCCTCTTCCGATGATTAACAAAAGGCAAACCGGTCCCAAGTCTTCGCTCCGTCCCGCTCGACTTGCTCCAAGAAGAGAGGCTTCGTTGATCTCTCTCCCTCTCTCAATTAAGAAAGAGATTTGCGATTATTTTGATTTTGAGTTTCAACAGCAAAGTTAAGATACATTTTTCTCATTTCATTTCAGCGAATCGAAAAATGTTAAATTTTAATGCCAAATAATAAGAGGGAATCTCCTTATAAATATCTGTGTTTACACATAAATCCCCAAATGGATGTGCGAATGAATCTCATTGAACAATCAAATTGAATGAAAAGCGGCAGTGCGAAAATTGAGAGCAAGGAGGGAAACGCAAGGAAAGCAAGTGGAAGGTAAGTTGTCTTAAAAGATTTCGTTTTAAAACTAATTTATATACTCTTTAAGCTTTAATTTATTTAGTTGCTTATAATTTTTAAAGGGAAACCCTTCTAAAAAAAAGACTTGTAATTTCTCCTTTATTTGTTTGTTTTAATTTGTGATTCGTTTTGTGATTTGTTTGGAAAACCTATTTGTCAATGGATTTCGCAAGATACTCTGTGAACTTCCCACACATCATATGGCCTGAGAAATCATGTCGACCTGGCCATTTCAATGGGCCAAATATTACGTGATGTCTTTTTTCGGCAACTCTTAAAACTCTTAAAAACCGAAAACCCCCTCAAAAAACAAAAATCGAAACAGTTACGGTGACGAAAACTGAAATTGAATCGACGCCGAGTGTGTGTCACACAATATCAATCAAAGTCGCTGAAAGCTGAAACTGCAGTAAAACTTTTGCGATTTGCGAAAAATGTGGGAAAATCGATTAAAGCGACAGTGATTGGTACGATTTAAGGACTTTCCCGCTGTCAAACTTTGCCACCGAGGGCATTCAACCTCAGGCGAAAATCCAGGAACTCCTCCTAGAATTCGATTTTGAGACACGAATTTAATGCTCGTTTTTATGGGAGGTTATTTAAATTAAGCTGTAGACGGTACTTAATGGAAAATTTAACATTTTAATTTAGGAAACATTAGAGTTTGTTAGGTTGTAAAATAGGAAGAACTATGAAACTGTGTACCTTGAAAAACTACCTTTCTAAAGGTAAGTTATTAAAGTGTTTCATTTGTTTACACAAAGTTGTTGAAAAGCCTCAAGCCATAAAAATGTTAAGGCCTAAATTTAATAGTTAAATATATCTTCAATGCTTCCATGTTGTTGTAGTTTTATAAACAGTAATTTAATACGTTTATATAAATAATACTCTATTAATTTTGTAACGCATCTAATACTATTTCTCACTAATTGACATGAATATTTTACTATATAACGAATCTAAAAGATTTCTCGAGTATCTCAAATCTTTTCTAACTATATTTCTTATAAACTTGTATAAAAGTTAAAGTTTTAACAACCTTTGCCGTTGTCGCAGCTGTCTTGTCAATTGTTTTCCCCATCGGTAGTCGTCGCAGTCGTTAAAACTTTTAATTTCATTTCACAATCCGCTAAGCTATATACATATATCTCCGATGCCTTGGCTTATAGCCTTTTGTTCGATTTGCCATGCAATTCGTCTTGGCCAGTGAAATGTGTTCGCCTTTGGCTTTTGTGCAATCACTAAATGAGTTTTCACATATTGTCTAATTAGGCCTTTAAGCGAGCATTGAATTTAATTTCATTTAAAAGTCATAGGCGGAAATGTTTTCATAATCTTAGACTTCAGAGCTTGAGCGCTGTTACTTCATAATGGCACTTGAAAATTGATTCAGTTCCCTGAAAGCATAGTAGGGGAAGGTGGACTCTTCAAGTCAAGGGAAACGGAAAATTTCAATTAACTTTTTCCATAAAGTCAGCAGAAAACTTTGAAGAAGAAGTTATAGTTGGCTATAATAGCAATAAACTGAGAAGCAGAGGTCGAAGCAATGTTTATTTAGGCAGATTGTGTAAAGTGTAATACCCTTACTCATACCCTTCAAACTGCCCCAATATCCCCCATTATCATTTACTGGAAACACTTAAAATTTCCATCTCAAAGTGGCAATTAAAAAGACATAAAAAACGAGCGCACACAAAGAGTACTTTAACAAATATGTTGGCGAAATGTTTACATCTTGGCCGGGATCAGGAACAAATGTGTGTTCAGAAGTGTTAAAACGAAAATACTCATTTCCAGAGTTAATGGCAGGGGTATTATTATTATTTTTGGGAACTGCTCCATTTGGAAGGAAAAACATAGAGTCACGCCATTTGATTCCGGTTTTTAGGGTTACCAAATACCAGAAGACGTTCCACAAAATTTCTCAAATTCGTCATTGACTTTTGTTTTCGTTTCTCATTCTCAGGCGGGAGAAAGCGCGATTTAAAAACAAAGCCAAGCCCGACGAAATTATACAAATTTTGGGTTGTGTTTCGGCGACAATAACAACAATAGCAACAAAGATTACTATTTTAGGAAATTCAGCAAAGCCAAGCCAATGTTTTGTTATGTTTACTTTAGGTTTTTTGTCTTTTTTTTCTTATGTGCGATGAACAGAGGCTTAGGGCCACTCATTCATTCACTCACTTGTTCATTTGGTTCACCCATTCACCTATTTATTTAATTTTTCGTGTGTGTATTTTTCAACTTTTTCCTGTTGTTATTTTTTTTTTTGATTGCTCTTACTTTGTCGCATGTTGGCGTTTTTGGGTCACAGTACCCAATGTGTGCTGCCTGCACACGCCAATTAAAGTTAACCCCACAAATCACCGCCTTCCCACTTTATCCCACTTTTCATTTTTGTAAAAAACAAATGCCTTTAGAGTTTACATTTTTGATTGGGGTGCCAGCTGAATTTTAAATACATATGTACGTATGTATTTCGACTCACTTTCTTTTCTTTGATTAGAAAACCGACTTCTGGTTAGCTTCTTGGGCGAGATTCTTGAACTGCTCTTTGGAGTCATGCCATATACAAATCGTACGATAAAAGTTTTACATATTCAAAGATCAAAAGTTGTGCTGCTGTTCCACATTTCTTTTGTTGGATTCCTCTATGAAGTTCTCCTACATCACGCCACGACTTTCTTGTGTCGGATGTGGTGCTCGCCTCCAGCTAATCCCTGTGCCCAGATTAAGTCCCGGCGAGAAGATGCTAAACAAACAAACGGACAAACAAACAAACCGAATGTAAAGCTCTTTTCGAGCAAGTGATGGGGCTGCACAGGGAGAAATTTCACATAAACTTGCAAATTTATGGAAGAATTAGTTTTGAAATACTTTTCCTATATTGGAACTACATTAAGCTTCTAAAAAACTAAACGCTTGAGGGTACTAATATTTCAGTCAGAAGCCTAAAACGCAGTGAAGGAGTCATTTCCGACCCTATAAATCATATATGTTATTGATCAGCATCAAAAGCCGAATCGATCTAGCTATCTCCTGAACAAATTAATTTTTTTTTCAAAATTTTGAAAATTTTTTAAGGGGTTACCGCCATCGTTAAAATGGTTAAAAATTGATACATTATTTTAATTTCATTAATAATTAATTTGAGTATGCAGATTTTGTAACCTATCGAAAACTAACATAGAACAGCTTTCTAAATTCAAATTAAAGAATTTTTTGGCTTAGTTATTGTATTTTAAAACTTTACTTTTTCCAAAACTTATCACATAAAATTATAAATAAATATTAAGATTTTAATTCAAATTTAAGGGTATTATATTTTCAGTCAGAAGCTGAAAATGAGTAATTTCCGACCCTGTAAACCGTATATATTATTGATCAGCACAAAAAGACGAATCGATCTAGCTATGTCCTGAACAAATTTTTTTTTTTCAAAATTTTAACATTTCTATAAGGGGTTACATCGTTAAAATTGTCAAAAATTGGCAAAAAAAAAAATTAATTTTTTTAAGTTTTAAATTTAGTATGCAGATTTATTAAACTAATAAAACCTGGCACAAAACAGCTTTCCGAGTTAAAATTAATGCATTTTTGGCAAATTTATGAGTTTTTAAACTTGGATTTGTCACTAAAGAAATATCATTAAATATCGATTTAAAGATTGCGAATTTTTTAAGCTTAGTTATAATCAATTTACCAATTGAATCTATAATTAAATTGCAATTTTCGAAGTTAATATCCTTTCTGGTTCCCAAGTTTCTAAATTAAAATTCTGATAAAAAAAATTCCCAAAATTATTATTAAATATCTCTTTCAAGTTTACTATTAGCTCTTTTTTGCTGTGTATCAAGGCTAACCTAATCCGATCTATTCAACCAGATTGAACCTGTTATATAGTACGATCTGTGTGGGGGGTGTATGCACTGTTGATTTGTCTTCATTATCAGCTCGTTGACTGTTTGTTTCTTCTGATTCTTGGGTAAACATAGAGACAACATTGAAGCAGCAGCAGCAGCAGCAGGAAGGCGTTGTGGCCGTGACTGACTGTTTGTAGTTTTGCCTCTTTTTTTCTTGTTTTTGTTGTGTGTTGTGGTAAAAACCTATTTATAATCATCGAAAGCAGATAGTGTTCGAAGAACGCGTCGTTGTCAAGTCACTCCTCCCACGGAATTTGTGTCCACTTTTCTGCCGCCACTTACTTACATCCCCCGGAAGCCTCCACGGCGTATGAGTTATTTTCGTACTTTCGTTCGATCGGACGCTTTGTACATTTCATGAATGCCTGTGACGGCACATCCCTCCTCCCTTGATGCTCACTCTCCCTGATTGTGGGATACACCAGCCCACGTTTATCATATTTTTTGTTCTTCTTTTTTGACAGTATTGCCTCGCACAGTGCTCACGGATTTTGGCACAAGTTTCGTGGCAGGAAATCAATAAAATCAATGCGATTGTCTCGGTTTTAATGGGATTTATTTTATTGTTATATTAAATCAGAGCTTAATGTGGATAGAGCTGCTGGAGAGGTTTTATGGTGATTGCAGGACATTAAATCAATCGTGTTTTGATTTAAAGATTCTTAAGAAAAAACATTATTTATCTACGTATATAATTTTTATTACGCTTTTAGGTAGCTACAAATGCATTTGACAAGTCACTACACCTATTTTTACAAAGATTATTTACCCACAATTGAGATAATTTACAGTTTTACATTCTCAGTTTCGCATTTTTCTCTATTTTTAACGATCGTTTGTATGGCAGCTATATGTTATACTGGTCCGATTTTCATAAAATTCTAGAAATTCTAGATTAATATATAATAGCTATATATTAAATTTGATTAAAATCTGTTGAAATTTAGAAAAGTTATAATATTTTTTTCCTAACATTTTCCTATTGTTCCTATCGTCGCTATATATCTATGTATATATATAGTCCACCGATTCGCCATGCTCCGATTTATATACTAGTAAAATTATATAGAAGAATAACTTATTAGTTTCATTCAAATAGCTTTAATTTGTTCCAAAATACATCTCGTAAATGAGAACTTATGATTCCCAACTTGTTCTAACATCCCTGGAACGAAGTGACTGCTGCCGGCCAAGTATCAGAAATGTGTTGTGTTACAAAAGTTGCAAGTCATTGTTTATTAGTGTTCAAAGTTACTTACAGTTCATAGATACTTACTGATCAGAGTTAATTATTGATCAAAGTTACTTACTAGTCATAGCTACTTACTATTCTTAGTTACTCACTGCTCATAGATACTTACTCTTCAGAGTTAATTACTGGTATAGATACTTACTGATCATAGTTACTTATTGGTCATAGATACTTACTGATACAAGTTAACTACTGATCATTGTTACTTACTATTGAAAGATACTTACTGACTCCATCACTTCGTTGCAAACTTCTGAATGAAATTATAATACCCTGCAAGGGTTTAAATAAAACCCAAGTCACTGTGCTTATCTAATTATATAAAGACACGTGTGTAAATTATTCAGACTGTAGCAATGCATCTCTGTTTATCTGTGATATATTGACGCATGGCTCCTGCTGTTGCGGCTTCCATTGTTTTCCCATTTTTAATTATTTGGCATCTTTATAATTCCCAAACATGCGTCAAATGCCCCCGAGATAGATGCAAACACAAACAGATATATTTGTATATGCATATGTGAGATATAAAGAGTAATATGGCCAGGCTTTGGGAACTGGTACGTGAAATGATTTCAGCCAAATGTTGCCTTAATAACTGTTGTTTGTTTGCTTCTGGCTTCCCAGAGCCATATATTCATTTCCCTTTTAGCCATATTCCTCCCTTGCCCCTTGTCACTTCCCGTTTCCCCTCTCTCCCTCCCAGCTTAGACACAAGTGTCTTTTGTTTTATCAGCTGCAGAAAGTTTAGTTTAATAAACAAAAGCACACAACTGAACCTTTTGCTCCCCCGGATGTGTGTGTATGTGGTTTTTTTGCTGTGAGTTTGAATTATTATCCAAGAGCCCTGTGACGTCAAACTGCAATGGAGCTCAAAAGTATCTGTATCTCTTTTTTGGAGAACCAAATCCACAAATTCCTCAATTGATTGCTAAGTTTTTCTCTTTTCCATACCAAGGTTGTCTCTTTTTTTTGCCACTGTAATAATTATCAACAAAAACCCCCCGCTTATATAACATTCTTATCTGCCTAGGATTTATCTGTGTCACTTTTTGTCTGAATTGGTGTCTCATTCACGTCACGGCCTTCACAGCCGGTCGAACGAGTACCAAATGGCCAAATGGATGCAGATCTATATGTACACAGCGACTTAGATACCGGTTTGCAGAAAACACACCCACTTGAAATGCTGTCATCCAGTGTGCTAAAATGTCCAAGACAACAAGCACACACGGCAAGAAATATCAGAAATTAATTAAGAAACTGCATGATTAATTAGCTGAAACTATATATGGTAGCTTGAAAATGGTTAATATTATAGATAAAACAATTTAAATATAGAAGAAATTAAACTATCAGAAATGTGAGAGACATAAATCCCATCTTATTTTCTCCTCTTATAATTACTCTTTAATTTATTTGTTTTAAATATTTATAATAAAGTTTCAATGCAGTTTTTTCCCCTCTGTAATGCTGTAATTATAAAAAAAACGAATCGGTTTTTCTTAAGAATTATACGTTGAGTCTCTCTGGGCCCCTTGACTCGATCGTAAATCGATCAATTACCGTGAGAGAGGCCAAACTGTATTCCGAGGCCAAAGATCTCTGTGTGGAGACAAAGCTATCAGCCAGATCAGCGAACTCTCTGGAGGATGAAGTGGACTGAACTGGACTGGACTTGGATGATTCAGCTTGGGGGAGACCACCTTGTGGGAGACACTGCATCTCTTGGGCAATATGAATGAATTAAAACACAATCTCTCGACACTCTCTTGGCACATCTCTCGCCCAGCGGTGGTGACATGTGACTTTTGGTGACTTGTGCAATTAAGAGCTGCAACAACAATTGCAAATGTGTCGTTGTCTCAGTGGCAGACCCAGTTACAATTGCAATTACAGATACAGATACAGATACAGAAACAGGCCCCAAGTTCCATTCGAACTCACTCTACCAACCGAAGCGAGCTGACTAAGAGGATTACTTGCCACTCCGCTGACGGTTGAATCTCTGTGCCTGGCCTGTAATCCGATCCACTCCATCTAACTCACACCGATTTGGGTGCTTTGTTGTGCTTGGCAAGTCATCTGGGTTGGGTGGGTGGCTTTTTGGCTTGCATCGCGCAGCCGGCAGTTTCGGATACTTCACGGAAGCCCCTTTCATTCAGGCCAAACCAAGAGCCAAGCCAAACTCCAGCAAAACCGATCCGAGCCGGCCCCCATAGCGTAGCAAAAGTAATTTAAAACAAAAGAGCTTAAAACGAGTTTGTCGAATTCCAAAAGCCAAATAATTACACGAAACGCACTCGAGTTGCAGCAGTAAGTTCGTGGTACTTGGGCCTACACTCGAGTGGCCCAAAAGAACCCGTTGAACATTCACGTGACACCCTTTTGGGGTGTCCCAGGAAAACGGGAAAAGAACCTTTTCAGGAAATTCAAGCCTTTGAACGAAGCTTCTTCTTAGAAATTGTGATTGATATATAGGCAAAAGGTGGTGTTTTCTACTTTGAATTTAGTTGCCACAAAAAATGATATCCAAGTTAATGCCTGTAAGTTGTTTAGAACATTTTTTATTTGCTAGATTTGATTAGCTCAGAAGGTACGATCTTTTAAGATTGCAACACCTATAAAGCCCCCATACGTTATGTTATTTTTCATAATAATAAATTTCATCTTATTTCTACCCATTCTGGCGTACGCTGCCCAATTTTCTGTTTGCATATATATATTCCTCATATAGTATTCACCCTTTTTAAACGGGCATGTACCCCTGCTTTTGGGCATGTTCGAGTCCTTGAAAGAGGACAGAAAGTATTTTGGATAAAGACTGTCGAAGAATGCGCAGATCCCAAATCGTCCATTTATGGCCAATGGTTTCCATTCTCCATTCATAAATGCCTCGACACTGGCGACAATTTCAAATGTATCATCGAAGTCCACGTGGTTTACTATGGTGCCATTCAGTAAGTGCTCTCGGCCAATTACCCGCCAGTTGAACTCTATCAGTGTTTCAGGATCTCCTTCAACTTTATTGAGCCGTTCGATGCGCAAATCGTACGCAGCATCCACGAAACCCTAAGGATACATTCCTTTAGTATATATATTCTATACTATATAGTTTACCCACCAAAATTGCGATTGCCGGAAGCAGAACAGAGTTGAACAATTTTAGCGACATTTCTTCACAGTCTCGAAACAGTTTTTAAATCAGCAATTTGATTTGATTTTTATACCACCTCGGTACTCCAAATTTTGCATGTTTCAATTTCATTTAGATGTAATTTTCATGATCCAAAAATTAGATATTAAAACAAAGATCACATCAAATGATCGCAGATAAGATATGGTTCAGCAAAATGATTTATTATACCCTGGCAGGGTATTATGCATTCAGTCAGAAGTGAACGAAGTGAATAAATCATATTCGAATTTATTTTATTGATTAGCATTAACAACCGAGTCGATCTAGCTTTGTCCAGGGAAGTAGTAAGTTTTTAATGCTGTGAAAGAGTCACTGATGACCCTATAAGCAAGCGAATATATATTCTTTATTCATAATCTTACTATATAAGCTTTTTAGTTACATAATATTTTGATTCACTTAAATAAAATGTATATATACATTTTTCCATTAACGTCAAGATGTTTTTCATTAACAAGTGAGATTGGTAAACAATAATACATAACGTACAGCTAATGAATATAGGTCAGGGGGTCAAGCAACTGAATTATCTCGCTCCACAGATTCTCAATTTTTAATGCAATTGCAAAGCACCTTATCTCCCAGAGCCTCTAGTCTAAGTACGTATTCTCTGTACTCTTATCTCCGCCATACTTGTTGATTTTTAGGTTTTTTTGATTGCTTTCAATATAAATTCGAATCTGGTGCTAGTTTATTTTAAATGTTTCACAAATTAGGGTACCCTTAGGAAACTCCCGGTTGGTGGTTCCAATTCTATGATTAATTCTGCCCTTGGGAATAATCTGAACCAATGTCACGCAGTTTTGCAACAGCTGAGTACACAAACTGGCAGAACTTGGAAAGATCCCCTGCTTATACGTCGTTCCATATTTCACGACCCCAAAAAGTGTTATTTTATTTTGCGGTCTGGGAGTTCAGATTGTTTGCTTTCAGATAGATGTCCGCAGTCTTATCGCCCTCAGTGTTTCTCCATAATTACTTCAACTATTGCGATGGCAAAAAAAGGGCCATTAGTATCTGTGTCTGTGTCTCTCGCTTCTGGGAAGTGAATCTTGAACAGAGAATAGATGTTTGTTATCAGAGTATATATAACAACTGGTGCTCTTATCAGCACAGAAATAATTTTTCCCTAATTAGTTACTAATGATTGAAGTCTTTCCTATGCCTTTTAAAAGGTGACTTCACACTCCACGTGAAAGTATTTTTGTATCTCTTGTTTTTTATCTACTAACACATAAAATGGCAAAAAGTAGAAAAACAGCAAAAACAGAAAAACAGCAAAAACATAAAAACAAAGCAAAACAAAACAAAAACAAGCGAAGAAACCGCGTTCAAAAACTTGTTTTTGTGAAATTAACTTCCTGTATGCGAATCGCCCGAGATCGCTCGTATGTATCTGTGTATCTTTATCGATGTATCTTGGTTGCATACAGAAATGCAGTTTCGGGATCCTATATACATATGTATATGGCCAGGCAATTGTATTCCCCAGTGATTGTTGTTCCCAAAATCCCCATTAAGATTCTAAAAATGAACTCAATGGAAACAATTGAGCGGCAAGTGCGAGAAAGACTGAGAGTCTGACTCAGGAGAATGACACATCGCAACTCTCAAACAAGTTTCCATTTTTGGCTATGACAGGCTTTCGGGCCAATTCGCGGCCCCCACTGACCTTTACCATTTTGGCCAAGAGTCGTAAAAAAGAGTAAATCTTGGTTCCAGTCGCTCACTTTGTGCACTTGCTCCTCGCAATTGTCACTGGACTTGCTCATTGTCTGACTTGATTACATCAGACATCTCGCCACACTCTTTGCGGGTTCAATGTTCTCCGGCAGAGACAGAGCTTTAAATGTGAAGGAAAGACTTTGAGAACTTGGGGGGAACCCGTGCGTGATCCGCATCTTCATGGACGCCGAGTTGTCGGCGGAAAAACCCACAAAGGGCGTGACCAAGGAACTAGCGCCAAATGATCAAGATCAAAGCACAATCTAAACTATTAAAAAGGCAGAATGGAATCTAATTTCAAGAAGCCGAAGTTTGTGTACTCTTGGATCATGAGTTCGAATAGTAAATCGATCATAACTCAACTAAAAATGCATTAATTTAAGTTCGGAAAGCTGTTCTTTGCTAGATTTTATTAGTTTTAAAAATCTACATATTTAATTTTCTAATTAAAAAATTTGTAATTTTTGCCCATTTTTAACATTTTTAACGATGTAACCCCTTATAAAAAATTTCAAAATTTAAAAAAAAAATACATTTTTGCTGGACATAGCCAGATCGATTCGACTTTTGATGCTGATCAAGAATATATATGGTTTATAGGCTCGCAAATGACACCTTCACCAATTATCACAAAAAAAACCTAAAATAGAAACACTTATAGGAACTATAAATCCATATTTTTATATGATAATTTTTTGTAAAAAATCACAGTTGTTTAAATATCATAACTTACCCAAAAATTCACAAATTTCATTACGGACTTCAGTTTTGTGTTAGTTTTTAAAAACCTAACAAATCTGCATACTTAGTTTTAAAATTACAAAAATTAAATTTTTTTGGCATATTTTTGACAATTTTAACGATGTAACCCCTTGTAAATTTGTCAAAATTTTGAAAACAAAATTTTTAACCGGGGCATGGCTAGATCGATTCGGTTTTTTGTGCTGATCAAGAATATATATAGTTTATAGGGTCGGAAATGATTTCTTCACTTTGTTTCAAGCTTCTGACTGAAGAGCTAATACCCTGAAAGGGTATTACAAATAAATGCGCTTGGAATTAAAATTAACTTGTCGGATTTGCAAATGGAAATACACTTAATGGCAAAATTCGGTGAATTTTTCATGTGTTCAGGAATAGCTATAAAAGTTGGCAGCCATTATTGCCCATTAAAAATACTACAAGCGTTCGAGCTTAAAAACAAATCTTTTGTAGTTCATAGGTTTTACTTATTTTTACTAATTTTTACTAATTTACTAGTTAATGTTGAAATTGAGTTTTAAATATTTTTTGGCAAGTAATAAAGCACCATATACTAAAGAATTTATTTACATGTGATAAAATAAGTCTAAAGTACAATTATATTATAGAGCTGTTTAAAGAGCAGACTTGCCCAATCCCTCATCAGCATCCCTTTATGTATATTGATTTAAAATTAGCTTTAGCCTTGTTTTAGAGTGATTTAAAATTAAAACATCTTTTTCTATGAACATTTGTCTCTGCAAATATCTTTTCTTATTTATATTAACTGCTACAAAATTACTCTTGATTACTTTCTCCTCAATACAAATTGATTTAAAGTTTCAAGGCATTTGCTTCCCATTTCCCTTTGAGTGTCGTTGTAATCCTTTTATCCCTTTTCCGACATAATGAACCTTATGCAACCGAAATCCACCTGTCAGTGCAACTGCTGGGCTGGCTAAAAATTGTATTTAATATTCGAAAAATGCGAATTCAACTCAATTTTGATGGGTTTTCTGTGGCCGCTTTCACTCCATTCAGTTTCCCGGCTGCCGCAGATGAAATATTTCATAAATGACGTCAATTTTTGGAACCAAAGTGAATTTATGTAATACTTTTTTACCCAGCAAGGGTCAATTTGCGTTGCCATGTCGCCCTTTAATTAACTCACATTGTGAAACTGAATAAAATAACTCGGTGTAGTGTAAATAAATATGTTTTGTACGGTGTTTTTAGTTTCCCGTGAGGGATCTGATTAGTGAAAACACTTCCGACTGTGCTCCAATTAAGCGATGTGTAATTCGACAATTGTATCATTAGAGCATGTCAGAATTCGCTCCGATCTCCAGAGTAAACAACATTTTCGGGCTCATTCGACGACTGCCTCAACTAGGGAACACACACAGGGTACAATTTCTGTTTTGGCAATTGGCCAGGAAATCGGTATAAAAAGCAAGTTTGCTCCTCCATCATACTTTTTATCCAGGGACAGCTGCAGCATCTGTGTGACACCAAAACCCCTGGACAAAGAGCGGAAAAAAAGAGCACAAAACTGAAAAGGATACAAAAAGTTGAAAATGTGGAACATGGAAGCAATAAGCCGGGCCAGCATTTGTGGGTCAGCGAGCGGGAAATTTCAATGGATATGTAGGATAACAGCGGGTAATTGATTAACCGGTGGCTAAAGTGCTGCAACCAGAAGTGCACCGCCTAGGTCTACGACAACTAATGGAAGCCCCTAAATCACACTTAAGCGGTCATCCATCCAACCATAAGGGTAAGCTCCCAAGCAAATCCTCAATTAGTTGCCTTTTGCATGGGCCTCCAGCTGCGAGAGGCTAGGATGGGCTCTATAGAGGAGACCATGCTCACAATCACCAGTATTAGCTTTTTGCTGATTTTCATATTTCTTTTGAGCCTCCCCAGGCAATCGATAAAGTTTTCCCTACTTTCCTCATTCCCTGTCTTTTGCTGTTTATGCTTGGTAATTGTAGAGTATATAGTATTTATAACGAGGGAAATGTACGATGTGATAGATCATAAATAGAATATGTAATCTTGCGAAGGATTTTGGATAAATATTATGATATTTGTGGGTCTCCTTTTTCATTTATATTGTTCTGATATAACAAAAATAGTATAGGGAAAGGAAGTTAACAAAAAACTCACGGTTTAGTTGAAGTTTCTTGATTTCCTATATAATATTTTCATTAATCAAAATACCTTAAATAATATTTATGATACTTTTACTTGTTTTAAAACTACTTCTTTACCGAATAAATCAGTTAAACCCAAGACAAACCAAGCCATTGCTAAACATCTTCTCAAGACCGGGTATTTAATAGTCGTGACCTTTGCTTATAGCTTTCTCCCTTCTTTGCACTGTTTTGCCTTCGAATTCCCTCTGGGGGATGCGTGCGAGGAGGCGTGTTCAAGTGGCGTCGCCTCCATTGTATGGTTGATTTTGTTGTTGTTGATGGTTGTGGCTACTGGTCTTTGGCAGCGTCGCATATTAATGAACGGAAAATCGACGGCGATGTGAGCAACTGTTAGCTCTCACCCTCGATGGTTATGGCAATGGGCGATGACGATGCCATTCGGGATCTCTTTTTTTGTATCTTGAAGATGGTATATAGCAGGTTTCATTAGCCCTTCCATCGAACGGATGTGAGATGTGTGGTCTTGTCACGCATTTATCTCCGAAAGGGATGAGGCAATAAATTGGGAAGAAAAACCATAGGAAAGTTTAATATATATTTAAGAACAGGAAGATATTACATTATTTATTATTATTTTTACTAGAAAAATGGCAGAGATATTATGAAACAAAGAAATACCCCTGGGAGAGCCTTAGCTTATTATAAGATGCCAAGCTTGCTCCTGTCTCCTTGGTTTGTGCTCCGTTTTCTTGAGCACTGAACTGTCAGGATTGTGTCACGATTGCATCTCAAATAAGGACATCCTTCACTAAGCCGCCAGCATCATCACCATCATCCTCATCATCCTCATCGCACGACCAAGTGCCCCAGCAAGCTTTTAATAGAAGACGGCGTCGGCAAGCATCCTTCTCGTCCTGCGGATGTCTGGGTTCAGCCAAATGGGAGGGATATCTTGCACCCAGAGGGAGACCAGGATAGGACTTGGTGGGTGACAGGGTCACCGCCTTCCGTAATTATCTTTTTCCCCATTTTTCCAGCAACTCGCTAACATGCGGCTGCAGCGACTTGTCTGTGTTTTAGCTCAATTAGTGTGGCAAGCGTGGTTTTCAGGAAGTAATTGTCGGCGTCATCAACTCGGGGGAATTCTTTATATATATATATCTGTGTGGGGGATGTCCCTAATGACAGTTCCGTGGAACAGGGAAGGCAACACCCATCCGTAACTCAACATATTCCTCATGCTCTTTCCTTTTCTCTTTGCAGGATATGCCTCAAAGCTGATCGATTGACCGAGTAAATGCCACAGGATGTCAGCCAAGCACATCGAGCAGTATACGAATCCCTCCTTCGAGCAGGAGTCCGACCCCCCGCCCACGACGTCTGTGGTGGGAGGAGGCACCTCCGCCACCTCCAGCAGCAGCAACAACAATGCCAATAACAATGCCACCGACACCGGCACGACACATCGCAAAGGTCACAGGTGAGCAAATCGCTGCACTTTCTGTCAGTTTCCTCAGATGCCCTTGCCAAGGAGGAGCAGGTGCCATTGATATTGGTCATGAGGCATCTACAAATCTCATGTTTCTACCCTTGCAGGGTATTATGAGATCAGTTAGAAACTTGCAATGCAGTGAAGGAATCATTTGCGACCCTATAAACCACATATATTATTGATCAGCATTAAAATCCTATTCGATCTAGCTATCTTAGGCAAAAATTTAATTTTTTTTTCAAAATTTTGAAAATTTTTTAAGGGGTTTCATCATTAAAATTGTCAAATATTTATACAATTTTCAACCTAATTAAAATTAGAACAGAAAAGCTTTCCAAATTAAAATTAATGCGTTTTTGGCTAAGTTATTGTATTTTTAAGCTTTACGTTTCCCAAAAATAATCATATAAAATTGTAGATAAATATTTAAATTTTAATACTCGTTTGAGGGTATTTAAGTTTCAGTCAGAAGCCTAAAACGGAGTGAAGGAATCATTTCCGACCCTATAAACTATATATATTAATGATCAGCACAAAAAACCGAATCGATCTAGCTATGTCCCGCAAAAACTAATTTTTTTTTTTTCCAAATTTTAAAAATTTTATAAGAGTTACATCGTTATCAAAATTTGACCAAAAATTTAGTTTTCTAAATTTGCAAACGCAGTATACAGATTTGTTAGCACTTTAAAAACTAGTACAGAAATGTTTTCCGAATTGAAATTAAAGAATTTTTGACTTAGTTATGATATTTGAAAAACTTATATTTTACCAAAAAATTAATGTTTTAAAAAATTGCCCAATTTGCTGGTATCCTAATACAGCTTTCCACATTAATTTCAAGAATTATCAGTAGTTGTAAGAGTATTAAATCTTCTGCTTTACCCTAGCTTCTCTCTCCTCTTGATTATTATTTTGTTGAGGACATTAGCCCACCTCTCGATTCCTTGGAAGGGGAATAACTATTTACATAAATTGACACTTGCCTTGGGTAAATAACAGAAAAATGATTGCCCATACTCCCAGCATATTCAATAATTAGCTTGTGACTTGGGGCACGTTTAGTGGCACGTGGGTGAGCTTAGGTGTGGGTGGAGCAAGGGAGCAAGGAGCAAGGAGAAAGGAGCAGGGAGCAAGGAGCTAGGAGCTAAGCATTCCTGGGACTGTGGTGGTGGTATTGGTGCCTCCATAATTCATAAGACTGCAGCGCCTTTGCTAAACCGAAAGCCGAAATCGGATCGATAACAGTCGATTACGATGAGTCGGTCAAGTTTGAAATATTTCAAAGGAGGAGGGGTTCAGGAAGAGGAAAGGAAAGCGTGACAAACAAGTCCCGGGGCAAGCACGTGAGCTTTGAAGGCGCGACTAGCGAGTAGCGACTCCGCGATTTTCCCAGCTATCCGCAGTCAACCGCGTGCCCTGCCAGCCGAAGGAACTCCGGAAAAGCCGCCGTCAGGCAGAGAACGGGAACCATTTTGTGGTTGCAGCTGCCTGGAAAGCAAAGCAAAGCCAAGTAAGCCAGCAGCGTGTCGCAGGAGGAGCAAGGAGGAGGTGGCACTGTATTGGCCAACAGCCCAGAGTGCTTGACATTGAACCGGTGGTGGGAAAGGGCAGGAGAAGAGCCCGGGGTGAGTTGTCCTCGCCCTCGGGCGTCCTTGGACCGTCCATCGCCAAGTTCTAGGCCGCCTTTAGAAAGTCTGACAAAAAAAAGGGGCAACCAATAATGCAGCAAGGACGAATATGTGAATGCTCTAGCCAAAAGTCAGTTAAAAACAGCAGTTACTATAAGGAAAAGTCTTTAGTTAACTAGAAGTAATAACTTTAAACAATTTATTTGTGGAAGATATATTCCAAGATAATATATTTACCAATTCATATCAAAATCTATTATCTTTTTTGCCTTTTTCAAAGTAAAACAAACTCAGTATCCCAAAAGTTTGGATGTCATAATGTTTTTGGAAATCCCTAAGCAAAATTCAACGGTTATCAGTTAGTTTAGGCTTTGGGGTTAGTGCTAAAATCCCAGCAAAACATGCAAAAAGAAATCCGAGCCTATTGTCAAATCCTTCTCGTTGATCCTCTGACCTCGTTACAAATCTCACTTGCAGGCGGCAGGAATCGATGTACCAGATGACCGGCCTCTACTCGGAGACGAATAGCGGCGACGACAGCAGCATAGATGCGGCCCTCGACCACGACCGTCAAGCTCATCTCTCCAACGATCGGGATGGAACGGGAACGGGAGCGGGAACGGGTGGCACAGGAGGAGCTACACAGGTGGGAGTGGACAGTGTGACGGTAAAGTGTCACAGCCGGCAGGCATCGGCAGGAAAATGCCCGGTGGAGCAGGATGAGGACTATGACGAGGAGCAGTTCCGTTCCGGCGATTGCGGCATCCTCAATTGTCGGCCATATGGCATTCAGAGATTTGCCCGCATCAAAATCTTCGTGCTGCTGTTATCGCTGCTGGTGATGATGCAGCAGGCCCTCAGCTCGGGCTACATCAACTCGGTGATCACCACCATCGAGAAGCGCTTCGAGATCCCCTCCAGCTACTCGGGTCTGATAGCCTCCAGCTATGAGATCGGCAACGTGATCACGGTGATCTTCGTCAGCTACCTGGGTAGCAGGCGGCACATTCCCGTATGGATCGGCATCGGGGCGGTGATCATGGGCATCGGTTCGCTGGTGTTCATGGTGCCGCATTTCACGGGCGAACCCAATCCGGGCATTGCGATCGTGAACAAGACCAGCGACAATATCTGCCGGAGCGCTTTGGTCCGGGATCAGGACATGGACCTGGGTCGCCTCTCCAGCGGTCTGTCTCATCAGCCCCTGGCGCCGCACACGCTGCGCGAGGATAACTGCCTGGAGGGCAAGGCATCCACCACGGGACCCGTGCTGCTCTTTGTGCTCGCCCAGCTGCTCCTCGGCTGCGGCGGCAGTCCGCTCTTCACCCTGGGCACCACCTATGTGGACGATCACGTGCGAACGGAGAGCTCCTCAATGTACATTGGTTGCATGTACAGCATGGGTGCCTTTGGTCCTGTCGTCGGCTTCCTCCTAGGAGCCTATCTACTCTCCTTCCACATGGATTCTCTGTCCTCCACCACAATATCCATTAGTGAGTATGAAATACCTTTTAGATTGACTAAACTAATTCAAAAAAAACCTTTGTTAACACGAAATCTTGTTTCTTCTTGCAGCTCCTGGCGACAGACGTTGGGTGGGCATGTGGTGGGGCGGATTCCTGCTGTGCGGCGTCATCCTGCTGGTGGTAGCGGTGCCCTTTTTCTCCTTCCCCAAGGTTCTTGCCCGTGAAAAGAAAAAGATCCGCAAGAGCAGTGTGGTCCAGCCCGTTCTGCCTAATAACTCGGGTGCCGTGGCAGCCACCGATGAAATGGGCAAGGTGAAAAAGCTGGAGATCGTGGCTGTGACCAGTAAGGAGGAGCAATCACAGCCACCGCCCAAGGTGGACACTGGCTATGGCAAGGACATTAAGGATATACCGCAGTCGATGCTGCGTCTGGTGAAAAATCCCGTGTACATTGTAACCTGCCTGGGTGCCTGTATGGAGCTGATGATCGTCTCTGGCTTCGTGGTCTTCCTGCCCAAATACCTGGAGACGCAGTTCAGTCTGGGCAAGAGTCAGGCGAATATCTTTACGGGTTCGATTGCCGTGCCTGGAGCCTGCATCGGCATCTTCCTGGGCGGCTGCATCCTTAAACGTTTCCAGCTGAAACCCAAGGGCGCCGTCCAGTTTGTGCTAATTACGAACGTCATCTGTCTGGCCTGCTATGCCATGCTCTTCTTCCTGGGCTGTGACAACCTCAAGATGGCCGGCACCACGATTCCCTACTACACCAGCAATAAGCAGGGATCCACGATCGAGCAGCCCTTCCAGGTGAACCTGACGGCCGCCTGTAACTTTGGCTGCGAGTGCCTCCAGAGTGAGGTGGAGCCGGTGTGCGGCAACAACGGGCTTACCTACTTCAGTCCCTGCCACGCCGGATGCACGGCCTTCTCCTCCAGCTCCAACTACACCAATTGTGCATGTGAGTAAAGGGAATCTTGCCTTAAAGATTCATAATTATAATAAATATAATGGCATTCTGCTTTTAGGTGTTCACGCCAACATCTCGAGCAGCATTTATCGGGGCGCTGGCGGCAGCCAGGCCCAGGCTCTCAGTGCCAACGAGGACTTTGCCGAGGTGACGGTGGTGCCGGTGGCCACTGCTGGTCCCTGTGCCACACCCTGCCGCACCATTTATCCGTTCCTTATCCTCCTCTTCTTTATGACCTTTGTGGTGGCCTCCACGCAGATGCCGCTGCTCATGATCGTTTTGCGTTCCGTGTCCGAGGAGGAGCGCTCCTTTGCCCTGGGCATGCAATTTGTTATATTTCGCCTGTTTGGTTACATTCCCGCCCCAATACTGTTTGGCAATCTCATTGATTCCACCTGCCTGCTGTGGAAGTCAGCTTGCGGTGAGAAAGGAGGTCGTTGTCTTATATACGACATTGAAAAGTTTCGATACAAGTAAGTGAGAGTGGCTTATGAAAGGATTTTCCTAATATTTTATGTCATTTTCAGATATGTGGGTCTCTGTGCTTCTGTAAAGCTGGTTGCATTGTGCATCTTCATTGTAGACTGGTGGCTAGTGCGCAGGCGGAAGCAGCTCGAAAAGATGAAGCCGCTTAATGCCAGCGATCCTATTATTGGTTCCATTATAAGTCTGGATAAATGTGAGTAAAGGCAAAATCTAAGAAAGTAAAGAAAAATAAACTAATTAATTGTTGTAGAACTAAAACATGTGTTTCGAAGAACAGAAACATCTGTTTTCCCCTTAATTAAAAATAAAAAACAGATTTGTTTCACTTCACTTTACGTATATTATATGAACATTACACATATTCCTTAAGTAACCAGATTTTGAAAACAACTTCTTTTGTTACCGTTTCAGTATTTGAAGAGAAGCTTTCTGGCGCTGAGCCAGCAACTGGTTTTGTGGGAGGCGGCGGAGAGCTGATCATACCCACAGATATACTGCGTCACTCCCGCAACGATTCACGCACCATGCAAATGGATTACTGGTGAGCTTACCTTAAATTTAAACCCTCCAAAGCCCCTGCTAACTATATCAAATCTCCTTCTGCAGCTACGACAAGTGCGGCCATGTGGTGACGCCGGCCAATACCTGCAACCTTCAGCCGCAGACCAAGTCCAAGAAGCATTTCCGCAGCGCCTCATGCGATGTGAAGATGATCAAGAGCTTTGCTCGCGATCACAACTCATCCAGCGGTCCTGCGGATGCGGCTGGCCAGGAGGCAAGCGCTAGCAATAGTAAATACAAGAATCTCAAAAAGTTCCAGGCTCACACGCGCAACCATTCGACGGATCTGCATGACAACAGCCAGCCCATTCGATACATTCAGAACCAGCTGCGGCCGCAGGACTGTGCCGAGGAGGAGGACGACGACGAGCTGACCACCGGCTGTGGGCACTTCGTCAAGAAGCATTCGCGAAACCACAGCTACGATCAGATCTATATGCCCAACAACATACGCTTCGATGCGGACTTCCTGCGACACCCACATCCCCATCACAATCCCAAGAAGAACGTCAATGTCTTGAAGAACGTTGTGACCGAGACGGGCAAGCTGAAGAACTCCAATGAAATGGAAGCTGGGGGAGGAGGATCATTATCCAGAGGCCATTCGCGTAACAACTCAAAGGATTTAAACACCAAAATTCCCAGTGTTACTCCGGGGAACCTTGTCGCTGGGCAGCCAGCAGTAGTAATGGATGGCAGCTCCGCGGGTCTGAGTGTGCTGCGGCATCGTCGCACCAACTCCAAGGATCTGAACTACCAAATGCTGCCGGAGGATGCTCCGGCCAGCTCAACGGTGGCCGGTCATCCGCCTTCATCCCATCCACATGCGCAGCAGCACACGAGGAACACGTCGCACCACAAGATCCAGATCGATGACGATCGGAACGAGCTCATAACCGACAACGACGACGACGAAGAAGAGGAGCGTTCAGCCAGGGCTTAGTTTGAAGTATGTTTAAACTAGGATAGGCAGCTCCATTCCTCTTTTATGATATCCTTGGGGAGCGTCTGTTTCGTAAACTCTCAGCTGCTCATTGTACTTACCTACGACCGAGTGTTCAAAATCTACTTTCCTCAATATATAATTCTGTTTTTGATATACGCAAACATGCAAACCGAAACGAGTCCGACACGAAAGCGAATTCTCATGGCTTGCAGATCATATTTAGGCGGTAGTAGTAAGACGTCCTAGTGAGCAACTAGCAGCATATACTTTAGGCTAGCCGTAGATTGTTGTGATAGGAATATTTTGTACTGTATTTTTAGGTGAAGAAGTGTAAGGTTCTCGAACTGCTCGGATTTGTTTCGCTTTCCACTTTGTGCAATCTCGGTTTCAGAACCGCATTGAAAGGCAGGAGCAAGAGGAGAAGAATTCCAAAAGAGGTGAATAGAAAATTGCAATGTTTTAATAACAAACCGAACATGTAAACAATTGTCAATGGAAATTGTGCTGTGAAACAACGATGTGTGAGAAGAGAGAGAGAAAATTAACGAAGGAAGGATAGGAAACACGCTGAATGTAACTCTTATGCAATACAATTATTTAGAGAATCTTTGAGAACAACCAATGAAAGAGAAGGGTTCGAATGATGTCTAGTTTTAATATATCCTCAATTCCCTGTTTTAACCGTAGAAGAGATGAGAGCGAGTGTAGCCTGTATTTTAAAACCGAATGATGTACTTTAAATGCGATAATGCCTTACAAAATATCAATTAAATATATATACACAGAAACGGGAGGGCCCTGCCAAGGCGCTCTCCCAACCAGTTCAATTCCTGTGCAACGCCCCCAGAGTAGCCCTAAGAGATGCAATCCAGGTTTATCTAGTAGCTAATAAGTCTATGTTTACACACACTCACAGCCAGAAACATGAAGTAGGAGGAGGGAGGAGCTAGCCCCTGCCCGAGCACTAAATAGATCCATTTAAATAAATATATATGTATAAATATATATGTATATTTATACAATTGTACGTTGATAAGTGTACCTACGAGTGGCTAAGGATTCGTAACATAACGAAGAGCGATTTTAATACAGACTGCACCACTAAGGCCTCCCGCCCCGCGTCTTAAGTGCAACAAATCGTATATATTTAACTAACTATATATATATGTATATGTATGCGAGAAAGTATGTTTAAGGAAAACATATTTTTACTTAGAGAAAATATTGCAAGTAAACTAAATAAGGAAAAATGTATGAAATGAAAACAATGAGACTCCTGAAAATGAAAAACAAAATAAACAATATATTGTAATAGACAAAAACAATTTAGTTTCATATTTAAAACATATTTTGAAGCCTTTTTTAATGATTAATGAAGTTAAATATTAATATTTTTCAATATAGTCTCACTAGCGCCGCCGCTAAGTGCTGGTGCTAAATTTCAGAACTACTGGCTTGGGCAGTTTTAACTCTTCACGTTTTCCTTAGCCAAGACAAGAACCAAAAGGCGATTATCGTAAAATATATCGTAATTATTATTTAATTTTATAAAATTTCTTAAATTCCTTTAAATATCACTTTAAAATATTTATTTAATTTGCTTAAAATAATAAATATTTCTTGCAATTCTTTGGTTTTCATAAACTTTGGCAACTCTGAAGTGCGACAGCCATGCAACCTGAAATGTTGATAGCTTATCTTTACCTTTTTGTCGGCCACAAAGGTTTTCCTTCAGTCGCTGAGTAATATTTTGAACAGAAACTCTAAGTAAACTAAATAAACAAATGGAGAAGCGCGCCACTTCCACGATGCAGGTGCTCTATGCAGAGCTGGCCGCCGGTGCGTATACTTAATAAAATTACGTATACGCAGAGTAATGCAGCTTCACACACACATACAGCAAAGGCGCGAAGTGCCCAGCTGGAGGAGGAGAATATTCTGCTGCGCCATCGCCTGAACCGAGCCTCGACCACTCACAGCACCAATGCCGCCATCAATGTGGAGGCCAAGATCTTGGCCTTTCAGTTGGAGGAGGAACGTGATCGCATCGTGGAGACACTGCAGCAGCACAAAAAGAAGTACAACAAGCTGCACGATGCCTACCTGGAGAAGGTGAAGCGTTGCCGGGCTCTGGAGGAGATGTTCAAGCGTCAGAAGACCTTGACGGGGCTGGTGATGAAGTCGGCTCTGGATCAGCGCAATGCAGGTGAGTCAAGAAAGGAAGGAAGTCTATCTAGATAATTACAATCTCCCCCTAGAGCAACGCATGATGTTGGAGAAGCGTCAATCTGCCCAAAACCATAGCAATGAACTGGAGGATCTAAAGGTTAAAGTGGAGAAGCTGCAAAGAGCCCTGGATGAGTCGTATGATATCATAGATGAAATGGACTTTGAACTGGAGAGCGTAAGTTTATTTCAAGCAAATTTTAATTGGCTTTAGCTTAGGTAATAGGTATTTTAAAAGGTGGAACTGTTGGAAATGCAAAACCAAAGCCTGCGCGATGAATTGGCTGCCTTGAAGTTAAATTCTGCAGAAGGAGCTACTAGTTTGGCATCATCAGTTCCTAATGATGATGATCCGCCGCCCAAGTACGAAGAAGATTGCCCCAAAGCTCGCTATGCCAGACAGATCTCCTCCAGCAGTGAGTCTGGACCCAAAGAGGACGATGCCGATGCCGAGACCATGGAAAGAGCTGCCCTCACACACAGTGTAGGTTAAAGACTTTCAAACTAATATAGACTAGACTAATGAGTCCTGGCCCACAGCTCATCCAAACGGTGGAGACGGAAAGCAATGCCCTGAGGCGAGAGCTGCTTAGATCCCGCTGCCAGAGAACCATTCGTGGCAAGCTGGAAAAGGAGAGCGAGCCTGCTGACTAGGATCACTCGAAAGGAGTCCCTAAAGAAATCCCCGTAACATACAGAACCCATAGATAAACTTAGGCTGATGAAACCCAACGTCCAACTTACGCACAACCCACAATCAAAGTCCAAGTCGAACACCCCGCTGTCTGTCTGGTCTTAGTCTTAGTCTACGTCTTAGTGGCTTGGTCTAAACTAACCCAGTTTCGGAGCCAGCTACGCCTAACAAGTGCACATACCAGAGATTGCTTTTAAGGTTCGAGAAACACGCTCGCCGGCTGCGTTAAATCAAAACTTCTCAGATAGAGTAACCTGATTTTTCGGCGGCTGCAAAGGAAACTCGTCTGTCTAATGGCTAACGATTAATTAAAATATTTGTTAATTGCATGGTGGCAAAAGGATCTGAAGGTTTAGCCCCCCCCCCCCTGCTAAAGCCCAATCCCAGCATCTCCATCTCCATCACCCTCTCCATCGCCATCTCAATCGCAGCTTGCTATCCATTAAAACATGACAATTATTTTTATGACTTAATGCACAGTCTGCAGAGGCCTTGTTGCCCAATGTCTCTAATGTTGCAAATTATTGACAAAGTAAATTAATCTGCACATTTGTTGGCCGCCGAACCAGAAACCAACTAGCGCGACACCTCTAAGATCACTAAAGCTCTCCCACTTGGTGGGGCATATTACTTAGCGAATGTGTGCACAGCGAGAAATCGGAGTCTTTTTAATATAGTTGTAGGAATTTTGTATTAATTTTTTACGCTATAAACAATTGTAAATAAATCAATGAATTTATATTACATAAGGGATAATTTCATAGATCAACTTAACTTTTTAGGAAAATACTTTTTATGTATATTTAGAAATAAGAAGTCATTTCCGACCCTATAAACCATATATATTCTTGATCAGCATCAAAAGCAGAATCAATCTAGCTATGCCTGGCAGAAAATTTTTTTTTTCAAAAATTTGAAAATTTTCTAAGGGGTTACATCGTTAAAATTGTCAAAAATTGATAAAAATTTGAATGTATTAAAATATTAAATGCAGTATGCAGATTTATTAACCTAATAAAAACTAGCATAGAACAGCTTTCCGAATTGAAATTAAGGCTTTATTGGCTTAGTTATGAGTTTTTTAAACATAGATTTGTCACAAAAAATTGTCATATAAAATTATAAATAAATATTAAAATTTTAATTTATAATTTCAGTCAAAAGCTTAAAAAATAGTCAATGAAATTTTTCCGACCTTATAAACCGTATATTTTCTTGATCAGCATTAAAATCCGAATCGATCTAGCTTTGTCTGGCTGAAACTGATTTTTTTTTTCCAAATGTTGAATAATTTTAGAAGGGGTTACTTCGTTGTAAAAAATTCGAAAAAACCCAATTGTTAAAATCATTTAATTTGGTATATAGATTTACATACTATAACTATATATCTATATGTATATATACAGTCCACCGATTTACCATGTTCCGATTTATATACTAGTAAAATTATATAGAAGAATAACTCCATAGTTTCATTCAAATAGCTTAAATTTTTTCCAAAATACATCTCGTACTTGTGAACTTATGATTCCCAACCGGCCATGTATATGAAATGTGTTGTGTTAAAAAAGTTGCAAGTCATTGTTTATTAGTGTTCAAAGTTAGTAACAGATCATAGATACTTCCTGGCCAAAGTTATTTAGTGGTCATAGTTAATTATTATTTATTAGTGTTCAAAGTTAGTAAATGGTCATAGATACTTAGTGGTCATAGATACTTCCTGCTCAAAGTTATTTACTAATCAGAGTTAATTACTGATCAGAGTTAATTACTGATCATAGCTACTTGCTGGTCATAGCTACTTACGGGTCTTAGTTACTTACTGGTCATTAATAATTACTGATCAAAATTAATTACTGATCATAGTTCTATAAATCGTCCGATCGTTCCTATGGCAACTATATATATGTTTATATATAGTCCACCGATTCGCCCTGCTCCGATTTATATTCTAGGAAAATTATATAGAAGAATAACTTCATAGTTTCATTCAAATAGCTTAAATGTGTTCCAAAATACATCTCGTACATGTGAATTTATGATTCCCAACTTGTTTTAACGTCCCCGGAACGAAGTGACTGCTGCCGGCCACGTATCCGAAATGTGTTGTGTTACAAAAGTTGCAAGTCATTGTTTATTAGTGTTCAAAGTTAGTTACTGGTCATTGATACTTACTTATTATAGATACTTAGTGATCATAGATACTTACTGATCGGAGTTAATTACTGATCATAGTTACTTAATGGTCATAGCTACTTACTGGTCATAGTTAATTATTATTTATTAGTGTTCAAAGTTAGTAACTGGTCATACATACTTCCTGGCCAAAGTTACTTACTGATCGTAGATACTTAGTGGTCATAGTTAATTATTATTTATTAGTGTTCAAAGTTAGTAACTGGTCATAGATAATAACCTGGTCAAAGTTACTTACTGGTCAGAGTTAATTACTGGTCAGAGTTACTTACTGGTCAGAGTTAATTACTGATCATAGCTACTTAAAAAACCTAATTGTTTAAATAATTTAATTTGGTATGTAGATTTATTAAAATAATAAAAACTAACATAAAACTGCTTTGTGATTGAAAATTAAGGCATTTTTGGCTTGGTTATTAAATATTTAAACTTTGATAAACCCACTAAAAACCACAAACGTACATAAAAGTATAGTCTTGGCTTAGTTAGTTCTTTATTAAACATTTGTAATATAATATTTATAAACCTAAAGTATTACATTTATTACCAAATTTAGAAATATAAATTCTTAACTACAAACTACACTATATCTAGGAATATCATTTCTCCTCGATCTCAATCCCATTTATTCTCTGTGTAAATCGATAGCGGCTTAGACTCAGACTTAGTGCGAACCACCATTTGCATATTTCTTGTTTAATTATAATTTTTTGGGGGCTCAGTTAATGAGCGCGCTCCAGTTGGGCCACGGCGGCGGCGGTGATCTTGTTTGGGAGGCGCGCGTGCCGAAAATCGACGCGACACGACACTCTGGGTGGATTGCCACATCCAAGTCGGAGTCGGTAATGAGTGCGGAGTGTGCGCCCGGTATATAAGTGGCCGAGGACTACCCCAGATTAATTACTTCGATTCCGATCTTCGTCGAGTGCACTTCAACACGCCCAAAGACGCCCCAAAAAATGATGGGAAAAGTGAGTCTACACTGTCGCTGCGGCATCGCTCCCTGGGATTAATAACTCCTCGAATCCTTTCCAGCTTAGCTACCTGCTATGCCTGTGCCTGGCCAGCGCCGTCTGGGCCATTGAACTGCACCCGGAGCCGGACTATGGACCGGTGGCCTACGAGTTCCAATGGGCGGTGAATGATCCCCACACGGGCGACATCAAGAGCCAGAAGGAGACGCGCAAGGACGACAAGGTCGAGGGCGTCTACGAGCTGATCGATTCCGATGGCTATCGCCGCATTGTCCAGTACAAGGCGGACGACCACAACGGCTTCGAGGCCATTGTCCAGCGCGAGCCCACGGACATCAAGATCCCGTTGCCGGAGCCACCCAAGAAGCTGCTGGCCGCCAAGATTCTCACTCCGGTGGTGCCGGTGGCTCCACTGGTTCACTATGCCGCCCCCAAGGCCATCATCAAGCAGGAGCTGTCCCCCGGCAACTATGTCTCCGTCTCCGGACCCACAGCCCAGTACAAGTACTAAAAGGATCGAACCTCACATAATCACCAGCTCATCGGGATAACCGTATCACTGCCATGCTCCATTAAATAAATTATAGATTCATCCATTTAAAATATGCATACAAAAAAATGATATTAACTAACTATAAAGAAGGTAACGCATTTCAATTTGTTCACCAGAAGAACACAAAAAATTAACTGTTTTAATTGGGAAAAATTCGGAAAATTAAGGTAAATTAATTAAAGAACAAATTCTCATATAAAAAAAGAAAGGAAGCGAACTTCGGCTTTCCAATTGAAATTCGAGCACTAGAAATGAATGCAATATCAATTATTTATATTTATGTTAAAAAACAACGAAGAAATGTCTGCTTTCTCTCATTATTCACCTATACATTTTACATTAACAGTTTTACATTCACAGTTTTGCATTTTTATCTCTTTTTAAGTAACGTTTGTATGGAAGCTTAACATATAGCAGTCGTCCGATTTTCATAAAAATTTACACAAAATTCTAGATTAATATATAATAGCTATATATTAAATTTGATGAAAATCTGTTGAAATTTATAAAAGTTATAATATTTTTTTCCGAACATTTTCCTATTGTTCCTATCGTGGCTATATATCTATGTATATATATAGTCCACCGATTCGCCATGCTCCGATTTATATACTAGTAAAATTATATAGAAGAATAACTCCATAGTTTCATTCAAATAGCTTAAATTTGTTCCAAAATACATCTCGTACATGAGAACTTATGATTCCCAACTTGTTCTAACCTCCCCGGAACGAAGTGACTGCTGCCGGCCAAGTATCAGAAATGTGTTGTGTTAAAAAAGTTGCAAGTCATTGTTTATTAGTGTTCAAAGTTAGTTACTGGTCATTGATACTTACTTATTATAGATACTTAGTGATCATAGATACTTTCTGATCGGAGTTAATTACTAATCATAGTTACTTACTGGTCATAGCTACTTTCTGGTCATAGTTAATTATTATATATTAGTGTTCAAAGTTAGTAACTGGTCATAGATACTTAGTGGTCATAGACACTTCCTGGTCAAAGTTACTTACTGATCAGAGTTAATTACTGATCAAAGTTACTTACTGGTCATAGCTACTTATTGGTCTGAGTTACTTACTGATCAAAGTTAATCACTGATCATAGTTCTATAAATCGTCCGATCGTTCCTATGGCAAATATATATATGTATATATAGTCCACCGATTCGCCATGCTCCGATTTATATTCTAGTAAAATTATATAGAAGAATAACTTCATAGTTTCATTCAAATAGCTTAAATTTGTTCCAAAATACATCTCGTACGTGTGAATTTATGATTCCCAACTGGTTCTAACGTCCCCGGAACGAAGTGACTGCTGCCGGCCACGTATCCGAAATGTGTTGTGTTACAAAAGTTGCAAGTCATTGTTTATTAGTGTTCAAAGTTAGTTACTGGTCATAAATATTTAATGGTCAGAGTTACTTAATGCTCATAGTTAATTATTGATCCTAGTTATTTACTGATTATAGTTACTTAATGTTTATTTATACTTACTGATCATAGTTTCTGCATTAGTTAATGCATTTTTAGTTGAGTTATGATCGATTTTCTATTCGAACCCATAATCAAATTCCCACAAGGATTTACACATTTCGGCTTTACGAAGTTAGCTTCCTTTCTTTTAATTTATTAATTTAATACATGTGAGTTGAAAATATATATTTAAGAATCTAATATTATTCTGGAACTTCTGCTGCTTTCCTACTTTCCTATGATAATTCCACTGACTAAGTTAGCCGGAAGACTAACCCCATTCTTGCAAGGTAATGGTAAAATGGAAATGGAAAAAGTTAATTTAGATATGACATATTATCTCTGTGTCAGATATTTTTCTCACTTTCAGACAAACAAAAAGCGGTAGAGTTTTTTTCTTTCATTCAATGCTTAAATAAAACGTGAATGAAACCGATTTAAGTTAGTTGAACCCGAACTCTTGGTCTCACTCCAGTGGGGAGACTCCACCTGGGCAGCAGAGTGGTGTCTCATAGCCAGATGTGTCATCATCATCATCATCACCATCACCATCTTCATTGTGGCCCAGCTGGCTCCGAGTTAGTGATAAGCACAAACTAATGCTATCGCCACCAGACTGCGACATGGTCGCCATAGATGCCTCTAATCTCACGTAGCTGCCTGTGGCTGCCTCGAGGCATCGAGGGCATCCAATTACCGCTGCCGAAGACGACTCCATTGGGTTTGGCTAACGCTCAATGGGAGCATCAGTGCGAAAATGGTTGACTCGCCGAAGACATCACAACATCTGCAGCAGCTTCTCCTGCTCACCGGGTTCCTGAGCTCCATCTGGCTGGGCGGAGTTGTTGCCAAGGATGCTGCCAGTGATGCGGACACCAGATGGATGGCTCCGCTCAAGCAGTACGGATACACAGCCAAGCATCTGAAGAATAAGGTGGAGCACGGCGAGTTCACCACCTTCGAGCTGGGCACTCCCAACTACAAGATCCTCAATCCAGAGGATGAGCCGGAGTACATCACTGCAGATCAGCCGCATTATCAGGAGATGCTCAGGCGTCTGACCAGCGGCCAAAGTGGCACGGAAACCATCGATGTGGACATGGCAGTGCGCCAACGATTGAATCAGAAGCAGGAGAAGCCTCAGCAAGTTCCTCTTAGAATTCCTCCTAGAACTAAAGAGGCAGTGAATCATCGGACACCACAATTACGACCCAGTCGCTGGGATAAACTCAACAAGAAACGCAGCTCCTTGGACACCAGACAGAAGCGCAAGGATACCAGGAAGTCTCATGTTCCGGATGAACTTAGTCTGCTGCCCAACTTTGAGGTCTATTCCGGGGCCAGACCCTTCCAGAACAGAGTTGCCAATCTGAATTGACCCTCACTTTGCTATCCGGTATTTATTTATTGTTTTATTAAAACGCATCAAGTGAATAAATATTTATTGAATACATATAAGTTAAGTGTTTGAGGGATTATAAAGATATTTGTGTGTGTTTTCTGGGATAAATTAAATAGAATTTAAATTTCTTATCAAACAATAATAAAACAATTAATACATGATGGAGATTTTACAAGTTTACAAGTTTAAATTAATTTCCTTTCTTTTACTAATACCGTGAAGAGAACATGTAATTTCTTTTTTATACCCAAAAATATTTATTACTTGAATTGTTTACATTAAAAACAAAGATATATTTTAAATATCAGTCTAAAATGTTGTATATATTAAAGCCCAATTATACTGGGCAGAAAAGTTATTGATTGCATGCATTATCGTTTCTTCCCAAAAATGTTTTTATCCATGTGGAACGTGTAGGCCACAAGTGCCACGAAATTGCAATTAAAGGTGATAAGGTTATAGATGATATAGCCACAGACGATAATTAAACATATAGGCCAAGAGACCCAGAAATTATAAATCCCCAAACAGTTCAGAAAGGTTCTGCAGAGACCAAAAAAAGGTCAGCGAGTGAAGAATGAAAACAACTAAAGATATATAAAGAGACTTAAAAAATCTCTGTAAAATTTAATAGTAATGTTTAAAGTATATAAAATATTTATGGTATAGATCTCATATATGCTCCACATTTTCTTATGAAGTATTTCCCATCGAGTCTTAAAGGTGAATGCCATGAAGCCATGAACCAGGGGTCATGAAGTGATATGTTTGTTAGCCATGTTCGCCCATGTTGGACGCCATCGAGCATCTGCAGCGATGCTATCGCTATCGAGTGCGGGTAGAAATGCTTGAATGTGTATTACGGAAGCGGCGGCTGCGATTGTGGCCCATTCCGGAGCACTCCCGAAGCACCAAGCCACCTTTTTCCCCTGCCCTGCTCCGATCGAAGCTTAGCGGGCGTTTGGAACGTGACGCGGTCAACGCTTCCGCGACCCATTTGTTCGGCGTTGTAAAAGCTGCGCCACCGCAGCGTATTTAAGAGCTATTCAGCGATTTCCATGGGAGAGTTTCGCACGCGACCGACCAGCGGCCAACAACCAAGTGCAAAGTGCCATTCCGGGACAGAGGGAAATTCTGTGCAGTAGAAGCGGCCAGAGGGAATCTAGAGGGGAATCCAGAAGGGAACGAGATCGCAAGAGGGAGAAATTCTGCTGAAAAAGGTAAGAAAAACGGGGTCGATTGCAATGGTGATTCTGATTCTGATTTCGATTGCAATTGTGATTACGATTTCGACTTGATTCTGACCCATTTCTCTTCGCTTTTCTCCCCCCTCCGCCACAGATGGTCCAACGCTGCAGTTTGCTGTTTGTGGCAGCACTGATGATGGTGAGCCAAGTGAGCCAGGCCCACTTCCCGGAATACTGTGCCGAGTGCGAGCAGGAGGTGTGGGAGCAGGTGCCCTGCAGTGAGGTGCCCACCACACCGGCAACGCCCACAACTCCCAGGACGACCTTGGGAACGACGGCCAGACCGCCCACAACCTTGGTGCCGAGCACAACCACTGCATTGCCCATAACCACCAGTGACCCGAATATACCCACCACAGAGCCACCATCCGCCTACAAGAAATGCTACTGCGAGTGCAAGCTCGGCTGCAAGGAGTTCTGCCGCAAGGTGGTGGCCTCCAATCCCAAGCAGCCCCTGACCCAGATCTCCTCCATTGGAGAATACGTTTCCGGTGGCCAGGTGGAGTTCACACATGTGCACCAGCGCAAGTACTTCCCCAAGTACGCGGGCGAAGGCTACTCCGGATCCGTAGGTGGCCCCAAGGCCTACAAGCCGCCATATCCTTTGGTCTACGAGAGGGAAGGAGCTGAGGCTTCTCCGGCTTCCATTCCCTCGGTGGCATCGCCATCGGTGGCCAGCATAGCTGCTCCCAACTACACGCTCGAGGAGTTGGCTCAGCTCCTGAGCAACGCCTATGGCAGCAAGAAGGGTTATCCATCATCGGCTCCATCAAGACCTCAGTTGCAGCCAGCTCCTCCTTCGCCCTCCGTTTACTACTCGCCGGTGTACAGGCAGGGTCCTGTGGAGCCCATCCTGAGCAAGGTCCTGCCAGCACCCAAGCGTACCTCCAGCATCAAGTTTGCTGCGGCGGCAGTGGCAGCCTCCGATGGCGTTTCGGTGGCAAAGATCAAGACGCCTTACGAGGAGAAGGTGGTGGTGGCCACACCATCGACCATTTACGACAGAACCACCTCGTATCCCATCATAGAGGAGGTGCAGAAGGTGTACTCTGCCCCGCAAACAGAGTCGTATGCGAGCCAAACGGAGGCTTATCCGAATGTGACTCCCATCTACCCAAGTCCCACCGAGTCCTATCCCAACCACAAGGAGTCCTATCCCAGCATCACAGAGTCGTATCCCAGCCAGACCGAATCCTATCCCAGCATCACGGAATCCTATCAGTCCCCGCAGCCGCAGGCCAAGTCTTACGGCAGTCTGGAGTCTGGAGCGGATAAGCCATCGTCCACTTTTGACCTGGCCATAGATAACTATCTGAAGGACTTTGGGTATGGCAACCAGGGAAGGGGCTATGGGGACTATTGAGTGCGTTTGATGGAGATGGAAGATCCCCTCGTTGTTGTTAGGTTTAGGTTCTATGAATATTTAATTATTTATTTTAGTTATAAATCATAACTAATTAGAGACATTAAAGATGATTAAATTATTGCAAAATGATTTGTTATTAGAATACTCTCTAAGGGTACTATTATTTTAGTCAGAAGTTTTTAAAACTATGAAGGAATCATTTCCGACCCCATAAATCATATATATTATTGATCAGCTGAATCGATTTAGCTATGTTCGGCGGAAATTTAATTTTTTCATAATTTTAAAAATTTTAGAATTGTAAAAAATTGACAAAAAATGGAATATTAAAAATTCTTGAACTGAGTATGCAGTTTTGTTAGCCTTATAAAAACTAGAACAGAATTGCTATCCGAATTGAAATTAATGCATTTTTGGCTTAGTTATGATATTTAAAAAACTTAGATTTTATCCAAAGAATTAACTTCATTAAAACTGTTAAAAATTCATAATATTCTTAAAATTTTTAATTATTAAAGCCAAATTTGCTGGTATCCTAATACAAACCAAAAGAGAAAAGCTTTACACATGAAGATAAATGCATTTTTAGCTTAATTTTGGATTAAGGAATAATAAAAAGATATAAGCAATCCCCATCAATAAATGAATTAAGATTTAATTAAATTCATTATTATGAACATGTTGAAAATTCCAAGTCAAACGATGTATCTCAAAAACTATTAGCATATTTTTGGGCATCAGGGCACTTTGTAGTTATAGGGAGAAAATTAAATAAAATTAAATTATTTCGTTGAAAGTACTTTAATTTAAAATAAAAACAAGCATCATCCTTCACCCCTTCTATAAAAAACCATCCATTATTCTTGCTCTTTGATGCATTTTATTATTCGTATTCAAAAAAGATTTAATTTCGTTTGCATTCGGCTTGATATATTTTCTGCGTTTTGTTTTGATAACATTGAATAAGATTTAATCTTACGATTTTTGCCAGCTTTGTCGGTTCCTTGCCAATCGGAGGTACACGGATATATACATAAATAAGTTGTATTAAATTCAGTATGCAAATATATATATTTATATATATGTTATGTATGTAAGCGCCATAAGTATATTCGAACTACGCTTTCTATAACCCATTTTTTATTCGCTCACGGCTCAAGTCTTTCGTTTTAAAGGTTTCTGCATGCTTTCGATTTCTTTACTTTTTTTGTTTTGCCATGAAAGGGAGTTTAAAGAATATATATATATTGGATATTAAGATGTTATATCACCTCCTCAGTACACTCGAATAGCCGAAGAAAGCAGAACGTTTTTGTGTAGTTTACTATAATTGCACTTGATAGTTTATTTTCTCAACACATAATATAGAATAGAGTCGGAAGGTTTAAGTAAATAAGAACCAATTGCAGTGTACACTTGCAGAGATATGCGAATGTGCGTTTATTTATCTTTTCATTCTCAATAATGTATGCATATAAAATATAACAAATAATAAAAAGTGAAATCATAATGTTTCAAACATATTCGTACATTGGTAAATGAAGAGTGAAACTAAAAAACGATAAATTGCAACACTTTGAAATAATGACACGTCGTCGTCGTCCGAGCTATATGAATTTAAACGTAAATTATAGAGAGGAAAATAATTATAGTTATACGATATAGTTTGTTTTTAAATGTATATATACAGCTTCTCCTCATTCATTAACAATCTCTCTCAATCTGATCTGATCCGTTGCGTTAAAATATATATTATTATTTCACGTTCGCAATATGGTTCAAATATAGTCCAAATGGTAAACCAAAACTATCGTTAAGCAGACCCAAGATACTCCAAGTATCTTGTAGATACTTTGCTGCTGCTTCTGCTTGGTGCTGTTTTTTCGGTCCCACACAATTTTGCTAATTATACAAATATAGGTGTCATTACACCACACTTTAATATATAAATATGAGTACATGTATTATTCGGTTGCCTTTTTGTTTTGATTAAGTTTGCTGACTAATGCAGTTTCAATTGCAAATAGGAAAAGTATCTTGGTTTCTTTGGATTTTTGCATTCTTTTGTTTTTAATTGCCTTTGCATTTGCATTTGCATTCGCCTAGATTTGCATTTAATTATATGTTTTATTTATTTATAACATTATGCAGCCAGAGTTTAAAGTTTACGCGATTATTTTCCTTGATTAAACATTGATTAGGTTAAGGTGTAGTTGGTTTTTTGCCTTTATCTTTACATTAAATGTGTAGAAAAATTCGTTAAATTGATTTGCATATAGTTATTCGATCTCCTCTCCCTAGCTTCCCTCCTAACTCCCTTCAATCCTCCCAGTTAGCCACAAATACAAATGTTTTGGCTCGAAAAATTAAATGAAATGGCGGTCTAAGTTTTTGTTTTTTTGTTTTTAGTTAACTACGATTTGTGCCTTGCAGTTCTGCGCTATGAGTTCTCTTTATGTTAATTTAATTATTTAATCCATTATTTGGCTGCAGTCTAGACTCGTCGTTATTCGATTTCCTTTCCCATTTCCCATTTCCCATCCTCGCCTGTCCCCTATGATATACAGTAATGGTACTTGCTCTCTTTAAACTGGTTTTACACTGCAAATGCTAAAAACGTATTGGCCCTATCAAGCGGGCCAGCGGGGGATCACACACGCGGAACAGTGGCTCCCGGACCTCCGGTGGCTTCCAAAATCCTCTTTGAACCTGAGCCAGTCTCTGCCCCAAAACACCCAAACCGCATCCGAACCAGAGTCCGTGGCCAAGCCCCTGTCCCGCCTCGTCCTGTGCATCCTCCTTCGGCGCTAGGTGAGCATGTAGACAAACAGCAGCGCCAACGCCACATTGAAAATCAGGACGAGCAGCATCAGCTGCTGGCGCACGAACCAATCCTGGAATGGCGAAGGAAGGGATAAGATGGATTATTTTTAGGTAAATATTCAGGATTCATTTAAATAAGAATACATGTTTTTTAGGAGAATATTTCATGAATTTTTCTCATTTTAAAGGGGTAAAAATATGTACCCAAAATCAAACAAGAAAGGTAGCTAAAACTCAAAGTTTGTGTACCCTTAAAATTAGCAATTGGATCAAAAGATCGAATAAGAAATCTAACATAAGGGAAAGCCTTAATATATTTGTATAACTTATTTTCTAGATTTTATATAATAAATTCAAGTATTTATGACTATTGGCAATCTGGTCGTGTTATACCACCAAGGTGAACTAAAATATGTGCATTATAAGGACTTTAAATCTATATTTTTATATGATCATATTTTTGGGTAAATGAAAGTTTAAAAATATCTTAACTAAGTCAATAATTCATTAATTTCAATTATTAAAGCAGTTCTATGTTAGTTTTTATTACATTAACAAATCTGCATACTCAATTTAAAATTTTAGAAAATCTAAATTTTTCGCCAATTTTTGAAAATTTTAATGATGTAACCCCTAATCGATTTTTGGGGAAATTTTCAAAATTTTCAAAATTTTTATTTCAACCGAACATAGTTAGATCGGTTAAGCTGTTGATTCTGATCAAGAATATATATGATTTATGGGGTCGGAAATGATTCCTTTATTTTTTTAGGCTTCTGAATAGAATGATAATACCATTAAAAGTAATTTTTATCCTCAATAAGTTCTAAGAAATATATATATTATTTATTTTTTAATACTGCTTATGTTATGCCCAGTCTCATTATATTTTAAATATATTATATCTGCACTTTATTTAATTTAATTTTGTGTTGTCTAAAAACCTTCTCTGAAACTGCTGCTACCAAAGCATAAATATTTAATTAATGAAAATCCTAACCACTTATCGAAAAAATCTGCTCAGTGTGCATTTTTGTTTTGGCAAAATATGTATTCATAAACAATTTACATATACTTATACATATATATTACTCATAATTTATGCACAACGAATGCCTTAACTTGAGTGCAGCGATTGTGAAACAATTTTCGGCGAAAACAAATCGATTATGACAGCCGCTTACTCAGTAGAATATGAATAAGTCTAGAGACACTCACCTTAACCTGTGGACTGACCAAATACAGTAGGGGATTCGCCCTGAGGCGCTCGTTGACCTCAATCTGGCGACGCACTGCCTCCCGGCGGGCGGAGCCCAAGGCGGAAACCTCCTCGCGGCTCATGGCCTCTGTGGCACGCGGCAGCTCCTGGAAATCCGGCATCGACTTCTTCCGCTGCAGCGTCACATTGATGGGCACCGTCTGTGGAATAGAAGGGAGCAATTATCCTGGATTAGCCCGGAATCATTCAGGGGGAAGCAGAGGATTCTCCACCTCAACTGGCGGCTCAACGATCCAGCTTTCGCTGGCCCTCCTTGCCAGCAATGCCGGCGAGAACATGAGGTCCTCCTCATCCTCCTCCGGATACCAATCCATGGCGGTTCCCTCGACTTGACTTTGACTCTACTTTCGGGACACTGTGTGGTACGTCTGCTGCGGCTATCTGGCTATCTGTCCGCTTGCATAATAACGTTGGACAATTTGTGTAATCTTTCTTCCCTCCTAGAGGCGGCGCTTCCAACTTGTAAACGAGTTGGACATGGCGTGCCCCCTTGGCGTTCTTACTGAGCACCTTATGATCACGACAAGAACACGGCTATCTTCGGACGCGGAGAGAGTATCCGTCGGGGAGGGCCAAAAATAGTCGCGATGCCGAGCCAAAACAACAGCGGATATTGTCGCTACTCAGAGTCTCTTCGGAATTCCTATGTATTCGTCTTGTTTTGACCGCACATATATTTAATTATATTGCCCACTCATGGGGTAGAAATCTTCATCGAGTGGTTAATCCGTGGTGGCCAAAGTGTTGCCTGCTACTGGCCAGTTCATCCCGCCAACTGTCGCCACTGGGCCACAGAAATCCAAGAGACGGCGGGCGACACATTCACGAGAGGATTATTTATTGCTCTGTCGCCGGCCTTCCAATGGCCACTTGTGGAGTGTTCATTCTGGCGGAAAGCTACATAGCCGGAGAGCTGCTGAGCAGGAGAGCCGTAGACCCAGAGAGGCATTCAGCGGCACGCATGCATTCCAACCTAGCCGATGCCCGACGACTGATCCGGCTGGCGTGCATTCGTGCCCATCTATAA